CAAGGTCAACCTAGGTCATCTAAGATAATTGCGTTTTAGGCAAGCTGAATTTACTTTTTGTGAAGTTTTTTGACTGCATTTTTGGTAAAAGCTTCTCAGATCATGATTTCATGTGATATGGACCCAAAAACAATCGGTGCACACATCAGTATACACACAGACACACACAGACATACAAACACATATAATTGACCTTGACCTAACTTGACCTGAAATGACCTCAACAGCAAAATTCTGGTCGGATAGTGTTACAAAGAGGTTCTAGCTGGCTTGGCACCAGAAAACGGCATCGTCATCGGTATATGCTAAGCAGCGCACTTGATATCCAACGGTGACCCAAAACAGCAACATTTTTTAGTTTGACCTGACCTGGAAGGTCAATGGCTAACCTGAGAAGGTAAAACTGGGTATCATTGGATTCGTCTCTTCCCAAAGAATCTTTTTGGTCTTTACTGCTAAGCTCTATCTCCAACAGGAACGAAATGGCGCGGGGGGGTGGCAACCACCCCCCCCCCCCCCATGTGCGTTCTAGGATGGGAAAATGGCATGTGCGGGCGAGGGTTAAAGGGACCCTCCCACCTTCAAAAAAGTTTATGAATTGGCATGAAAGTGATGTCGCTCGGTTCAGAAAGAGCGAAAACGAATATCTACCAAATTTCACCGAAAAATATTCACCGGTTTTCAAGATATTAGACTTTTACTTTTGTTTACTTTTTTGGGACCTCCGCTGTATCTAGCGACTTTATTTTAGAAGTGCGGCGTTTGCGGCAGATGTTGCGCGCAAATAGCATATACCACCGCGTGCTACAAAACGTTTTAGTCAAACATTTAAAAATCGTTAGATATTTGCGCTGACGTCACACATTCAGAGGGGTATTCCTAAGCATTAGCCCCTCTGAATCAAAATGCTGCAATTTTGAAATTCAATATTTCCGATTTAAGGCATTTCTCGATGTTGTGAGTGCCGAAACCGGTAATTGTGAGCCAGGGACCCCATTTTGGCTATCTCAACTCAAATCTAATGTTGAGGTGGGAGGGTCCCTTTAACTGGTCGATAAAAACAATGGTAAGTGTTTACAAAGTAATATAAAGGCATGGGTCGGGTGGGCTACCATTTATATATTTTTCTTTTTAGTTAAAAAAAATTCATAGTGTCAGGGCTGTGACGAAAAATGAGTGGCCTAAATCCGATGAGAAAACAGGATTTGGGGGTACCCTAGGTTTGGCTCCTGCATGAGTTGGCCCCCCCAAAACGCAAGCCTGGATCCGCCAGTGACGAGGAGTACTAGCATTTTCCCTTAACGCACGCTAGGACCCGTCCCATGGCTCAGCAGGAGCAGACATGATTCATTCAAAAAAGTGTTCACCCCCAACACCGGCGCACTCAGGCGCAGCTGAAATTTTGAGGACATGTAGACAAATCCTTGACCCACAGTGTGGTGGTAGTCTGAGACCGTACACTAGCGTACAATTTTTTGTAGCTCTATAAGAACATTGACATTTTTCAAAAAAGTGTGGCAATGTAAGGGCTGACGGAAATCAATAAATGCAACACCTATGTGCAATATAATTGTATAAATTATGACTCATTACAAAGCCAAAAGTTCGCGCTATCGTTTGGTACCCAAATTATGTAGTTGTGTCAATCCAAAGCTCGAAGATGTTGACGTGGAGCAAGGCGACTGTTTCTGCGTTTGTTCGCCGAAGTTTAGCTTTTGAGAGTTGTCTGACTTTGTTGTACATTTTCAACGTTTTCAAAAGTAAAGAGAATAAAAGTTTCCGTCGTTAAAGATGCTCTGATCATTTTTGCACACGATAGTGGCCAAATGAAAACGTTTAAAAATAGTCGATATTTCGCGTCCTGGCCAGTTTTTGGCCAGAGTTAAAACACGGTGCGCCGCCTGTCAGGTCACTGACCTATCAGTAGGTATCACGCCATAACACGCGCAGTGGAAGGGGGGCGGATTTCGCCCACCCCTCCTGTCTTTCGCCAATAACTCGCGCCGCAAACATAATATTAATGTGAAATTTTGGCTACCTGTTCAAAATTGAATTGCGGATCTTCTCGTGCAAGAAATAAGAAAATATGTTCACAACTTTTCTAGTAATAGCGGTGTAAAGTCAAACATCCTGCCGCCGCGGCGGCGCGGCGGCGCGGCGGCCGGCGCTAGCCGTTACGCGCACCTGAATTGTAGACTGTGCCGGGGCGGGACGGTTCCGTCCACGGTCATAGAATACTACTATGGACGTCAAACCCCTTGAGACCCCACTTTTTTGCGATAATTTTTTAATGCGTCAACTCTCGCTGACAATATTCTGGCAATGTGTGTTTCAGAACCTGCCGAAACTTTTATTACTAAGGTATTTTGACGCCAAACGATTATGAAAGGTACGTACTTCTCATTCACTCGTAATGTTAAATTTCACGGAACAAATCTGCTGTTTGGGTAGAGGCTACGCGCTCATGGGGCGGAGTCACGTAATGACGTCAGCGCTAAGCTCCGCCCTACCCCTCCGGCGCTCCTTGCCCGGCGACCGGTCACTCGCGTCTCTCGCTTCATTCAGGCTTGATGGTGGGCGGTAGCTGGTAGCGGTAGCGGGCGCTGGTAGATGGCATTTAGAGCAGATGGCGCTGGTGGCGGGGCTCGAGTGTGGCCGAGCGCAAGCCTCTGCCCGGGCCTGAATTGACCTTAGCATTACGAGTGAATGAGAAGTACCTTCCATAATCGTTTGGCGTCAAAATACCTTAGTAATAAAAGTTTCGGCAGTTTCTGAAACATACATTGCCAGAATATTGTCAGCGAAAGTTGACGCATTTAAAAATTATCGCAAAAAAGTGGGGTCTCAAGGGGTTTGACGTTCATAGTAGTTCCGTCTTTACATCGCGCTCCTTACCGCTGATTATATTATATTCGCGTCAAATTTGGTGAGAAGGCTGAGAAATGTAGGGGAGAGAGGTCATATTGCGCCATGTTCTTAAATGCGCCACACCTTCCTCCTGTCCAAAATTCGATTCGAATGAATACTCGAATGTATGCATTTACTTCACCACCAATAACTCGCTCTTATTCCGGTCCACGGGGGCAGGTGAGGTGTCTCAGCTTTCTCGCAGACCATTTTTTGTGATTTCCTCTATTTTCTTACGCGAAACAGTCTATTTCGACCTTTGCTAGTGTCATGGTTTATCTTAGAGATAGTGATTCAACCAAAAATAATTGTTAATTGCTCGTTTAATGGTAGTTTTGAAAGTTTATCACCACCGTGGCTTCGCTGTCGTCGCCATATTTGAAGCTCATGAAAAATGTGTTCCATTCGTAATTGTGCCCACCCTATTTGCGCCCTATTCTTCAACCCAGAGAAACAGCATCTGGTGGTTGGGACACATTTCATTGAACACTTTGATTATTAGAGCGCTCACCTTAACATTGCCTTAGCCTTCACAGCATAAATGGTTAATGGGCTGACACGTTCAAATAGGCTACTTAGTTAGGTGGCAAACCGTTGTTTTTAATAGGGCGCTTTTACATGAGAGGCATGGGCGCTTTTTGATGGGGTAGTCCGTAAATGCGCCCTTTGCAGGTGTGTCGGAAAACCTTTCTCTTGTTAATTTTTATGGGTGTGATACAAATTAGGAGTTGTAATTTGATGCCAAAATAACTGAGGTACAATTTGAGATATCATCAAGCATGACAGCTGGTCAACTTTAGCCGCAATAGGCCGATATCCTTAAGGTGGCGCAATATGACCTCTCTCCCCTACAGGCAATCATATACATATATATGTAGTATGAATCATATATGTAGTCAAAGAATTTTGAAAATCGGCCGGTAACAACTTGAGTTATGAGTGTGTAAACACAAAATTGTGATTGCCGCGTTTCCCGCGTCGGCCGATCCCGCTTCAGCCGGCGACATCTTACCCTTAGCAGGCTTCTAACTGGCAACTGCCATATTTATTGTTTGTTGGATTAACTAGAAATTCACCATACATGCTCACAAATGTATGTTCTTTCGTATAATGAAAGAAAAAAGAAAATCGGCCGGTAACTTTTTGAGTTATCGGCGTGTAAACGCAAAAAAAATCGCTCATATGGCAGATTTGACCACATTTGACCTCATTTGACCTTGAAGATATTGACCTAGGGTCATGAAATTCACACACAACAGAGTTCTCCATGGCCTACACCTACCCTCCAAATTTCGTCTTTCTAACTCCAGTGGGAGCTGAGATCTTAGGGGGGGGGGCGACATCCGCCCCCCCCCCCCTCTTCCACTGGGCGTAGTATTCGCAACCCTTCCACTGCGCGTGATAAGTAGAAACCTCTGTGCGGTCCCGAAATGTCGCAACTCGCAACCTAGCGACGCCCTCGGCCTCGGTGCCAGAGGGGCTTTGACAGACAGATGAGACTTACAGGCCCTATGGAGACTGTTATTTTGGCGCCGGAAATGATCTTGAACTGTCTTAAGCGCACAGAATCATGATTCCATGGACTCCTTGCAAAGTCCGATGCTTCGCTTTTGCATTGTTGACCTTGCGTGACGTTATTTATAACGTCTATGGTCATTGACTCATTGGTCATATAAGTTTCTTGTTGATATGAACTCCCGATAAAATTGAGCTGGAAAAGCCACCAATGAACTTGGAAAGACCTGTCAAATCGAATGCTTTGCGATATGACCTCTTTCGACCAATTTCGTGACCTGAGAGGCTCTGACCTGACCTTGACCCGAGTGTAGCACGTTAAGTTGACTCAAGTGTACAAAGCGTATGTATAATTCGACGCGCCTGAGGTAGGCAAATACGCGGATACCAAAGTCGCAGCTCTGCAGCCATTTATGGTGGAGTTATTTAGCAAAAACCGAGCCCGTGCCTTGGGCCACTTGACCTGACCTCAGAGGTCACGGGTTGACCCGAGACCTTAAAATCGGAAACCAATCGCTGTGTATTGTAACGGTGCACACGCTCGGTTTTTCTATGAGGCTCTAGCTCAATTAGGGGTGAAACGGCAAGGGGGTCAGACCAACCATTTCCCCCCTCGAGAGGGGCGTTTGTAGAAAACCAATAGGTCCGGCCAGGTGTAAATGACCTTAAATGACGGTACTTTGATTGACTTCGAAGCATGATACGTGATAAGTCATGTTACTTTTTCTTGATGTGTTTCTTTGTCACATCATATTTCTCTGAAATAGTTCGGCTGACATGATTGGTGACAAAAGGCGAGGCTGAAACGCAACTGAAGCACACATTGTCCCATCTATTATTGACCAATGACCATTCACGAGCACTGATCGCTCACTTGAGCCACACCTGGCAGACAAAGTGCTCGACTTTGTCGCACTTGTCGTCCACCCAGGAGCCGGATCTGTCCGCGCGCATCAGCACACAGTGCTTCTGGCCGCTGCCGTAGTTTGACGGGGAGCGCGGCGCCCACTTGGCCGTGTCCAGCGTGGAGCCGTCGCTCCAGACCCAGCCGGAGCCGCGGCCGGCCAGTCGGGTCAGACCCACCCAGGCGGCGCGCACCTGGGTGGCGGCCAGCACGTCCCTCAGGTGGCCGGCGGACCCCGGGTGCACCGAGGCCAGGCCGGCGCGACGGTGCAGCAGGGCGCAGTCCCGGTGCGCCTGGTGCCAGCTGGCTTTGGTGACGGGCACCAGGTAGCAGCGGTCCTTGTGGTGACTCCAACCGGCCGGACACTCCTCCGGCACCGCCTGGAGCTCGGCGAGGCGCTCCAGGATCCGCTCCTGGTTACTCAGGAGGAGGCTCAGGGTGTCATTTATCGGAGGGAGCTCGGCGGCTGAGGTAGTGGCTGGGAGCGCCAGCAACAGAGCGCTAACCAGTAGCTGGAGGAGCATCTCGTCGGCTGCCCACTGCTGCACCGTGCTGCTGTGTTTTCGGTTGTCCGTTGCTGAACAGGTCCGATGCAACTGCCACGCCGAAATTGCAGCGTCAGAGCCTCAGCTATATCGGCTGTCTGCTTCTCTCTGGACCGTCACTCTTCTTCACCTGCTAGACTATGTATTCGGTGCTTCAGTTCACGTGGCTAGTGTTGCTGTGGTGCTGGCACCAGCCAACTGAGCTGAGCTGTCACACGGCGGAGACTGACTGGCCGAGACTGCTTGCTGGTCCGTTTGGTCCGCTCGTCCGCCGCCCAGCAGCTGAACTTTGTTAGGAACTGCAGTCAGGGTCTGTTTATAACACAGCGCCATTCGCAGCGCGCACTTCGGGCGGTGCCGTCTGAAGGTCGACCGAGAAATATGATATGCGACGCTAAGTTTACTTTAAACGACAGAGATTGAATTAGCAGCCATAATGTGTCCAAACGCTGGCTGGGTCAAAAGCTTTATGATAAACTTGACATAAACCTGGGACCATGGTGAATGATCATGAGGCGGCGGAACGGGGAGCACCGGGGCACCGTACCCCCCTTTGAATTTGAAATTTTAACATTAGCCCTATGAGCGTTGCATGGGAAGAATGGGACCAAAAGTCGGCAGTGATCCCCCGTAATTGAAGATATTCCGCCCCCACTGTGAATGATACAGGCGGAAAAGTTCACTCAAGGCATCTCTCGGCATCAAATAAGTGATTGACGTTGTCACGGAGGTATAGTCTGTGCTATCCGATATTCCGATGCTGGACGTTTGTTGTGACCTCTGTTGACAGAGCGGGCGGTACGGGGCCGCGGGGAGTACCTGACCGGCCGGGGCTTCTCCCACCCTCTCTCACCGACCCCGCCCCTGGCCACTAGCAGCGCCTCTCCGTCTGTCCTGGGGTACCTCCGCCCACCGCAGCTCCCACAGTGCGCTCCGCGTCCTCCGGCCGTGTTCCGCTTCCCTCCCGCTCCCCTAGGAGCTGTCCATTCCTCCCTACCGTCCTCACTCTCCTCCAGGGAGCCGGGCGCCAGCTTCCCCCGCAGCTGGGATCACCAGGAGCCGTCCCAGCCCCAGTCCCCTGCGCTGACCTGGACCTCCTCCGACAGCGACTTCCCGCCGCTCTCCCCTCTCTCCGTCTCCTCCCGCTCCCCTCCGTCACCGCTCTCCCTGCGGCCCCGGGTCGTGCCGCGCGCAGAGCGACCTCCCCGCCGCCCTGCTCCGCTGCTGGCGGCCGGCGCCGGCCCCGGCGGCGACTCCGCGCTGTTCTGTCGCCGTCGGCGGCGCCAGCGGTCCCGGTCCAAACGACCAGGGGGCAGCCCCGCGCCGAAACGGTCAGGTAAGGGCGACAAGCGACCAAATCTGCACCAATCTGTACCAAATGTGAACCAAATGTAGGTATATCAGATAGCCGTTGTGAAAACGGCTAATATCTGTTCCATGCATAACGCATTACATTGTTCTGACGCATACATTCCGTGGATTTGTGACATATGATAGTGCATGTATGGCCTAAACTTTTGAATTCATTTTAAAAGGGGATTAAAACGCAAGAAATTACCCAACGTTTCGCATTTATTGCTTAGTCATGGGTCTTAGAGTGCGATTGTGAAATGAAACGTTGGGTAATTTCTTGCGTTTTTATCCCCTTTTAAAATGAATTCAAAAGTTTAGGCCATAGCCCATACATGCACTATTATATGTCACATCTGTCATTTGATAATCCTCAACATTTCGTCGATTATTGTAGAACGCTTTGGTCTGAACTTGATTAGGGCATGGGCTATCATTTGTCATTATCAAAGGCTGTCCGTATATTGTAGAAAGAAATTCCTGTGACCGGCTCCGTCTGGGATGTTCTGGGGGAATCGGAGTGGTGCATTCCGCAGTTGATAGAGCCAGCGCTCGAGGCGCTGCAATGCTGAACCACTCTGAGCATCAGTGCTTGCCGCGATTGTGAATGTTGTCCGCCGAATGATACTTTGCTATTTACTGAATTGTTTCAGAAGTAAGTCCTCACTAAATGAAACACATTACACAACATACCCAAACATGCTCCTACCAGTATGTAAAATGTCCTTACAAATTTTGGTGATGGTTAGTTTAGTGGTTACCTACCCTAATTCATTAAACGACGCTCCATATGAATAAAGATAGCAACGGATAGCTGTAATGTGCCGCAAAGTGTAAAAATAAGTCTCTTTTGCTAGGAGTTGTACATAATTAATGTTAAGTGACTACCGTAATTCTGCTCCTCTCGACTAATTACAACCCAACTATCATATACTTAGTCGAGCTTAACCTTCCGTGCCATCAGGAAAGTCAGCATGTGCCTTCTGTCGAAAGAATGGGGAAAGCAAAGAAATCGTCACATCCCATGATCTTCGCGATTCTTCAGGTATGATCATTTTTGTTTATTCCCTTGCCATGCAATATGATGCAATATGCAATATGATCGATATCGCACGCAATGCGTAGACTGGAATAATATTTTCACATGTTTTTTTTTACTGATTTGTCATAGTGCGACCGGGAACTCTAGAAGCGATCATGCTATTACGACAGGCCTAAACGGTTTCTTTAATTTGGTCTGGCGGTTTCTAGCATCTAGTACCCGTTGCTTTGGAAGACCGCAGGTTCTCCTTGGGTTTGTTTCGCCGGCTCCTTGGAATATTTACATTCGAGACGACTGCCGGGACAGCCGGTCACAGTTTCGCTGTCGGTCCTGGCAGGTCGCGTGTTGTGTCCGATCCTGCGCAGCCACGTCTGTGAGTTGTGTCACCTGACCGGAGACCACGCCCACACCCGCACCTACTGTCCACTGGCGGCCGGTGGCGGCGGCGGCAACCGACCCGCCCCTAGCGCCACCGTCCAGCTCAAGAGCACGCGCCACAACGCGGCAGGCAGACGACGCTACTGACCCCCTCGGCCGGCGCTGACGTCAGAGCCGAGCCTCTGACGTCAATGTGACGTCACAGGCGTCATTAGGGAGCGACGGGGCGCCGGGCGCGGGCTTGCTGCCGGGGCCGGGGCGCCAGACGTGACGTCATTTGGGAGTTTCTGAGACTCAGAGTCGGGAACGATGGTGTGGAACGGACCCGATGGAAATATGCCCGAGTGACGTCATTTCCCACCCGTTGAGTATTTATTCAGGAAGAATGATGCCGTTGTGGCTCGTCTTAGCTATTTGGATATAAGCAATGCATGCGGTGTCTTATTTCACTGTTGTTACCTAATGACTCGCCAAGTGCCTTATCGTGTCATCTCATCGGGTGCACCGTTATATGGTGCTGCCCCATGGGGAAAGATGATATGTTATGTGTCAGGTTTAAATGAATGGCATGATACCCCAGAGGTCGGTCTGATGAGTATTTATTCCAGAATGAATGTATCACGCGTGAATACATTTTGTTTTTCCTATACCTACATGTGGACTTTGACTAATAATAATGCGTATTCCTTGCATGATCCGAAAAGTCGTCATGCCTTTTATCCAAAGAATGTCCTGCGGTGCAGACTGGTTTCAACCTAACCGATGCATAAAGCTAAACTTATTTTTCTTAGTGAATTCATACAAACGAATGTCTGAGAAAATAAGCTTGTTTCGCCTGTGGACATGCCACTTTTGGTAACACGTAATATTAACTCTAACTTAACCCGCGCCCGCTGTGCTTATTCAGCCATACGCGCCGTGCTGGAGGGGGGGGGGGGGCACGATGGTCGTAGAAAGACGGGGAAAACGGTAATCGAAAGCTCTCAACAAGGCGGATCTTAAGAGCCCAATTTTTTTGCTTAAGTAGGTCAGAGGTCAGGTCAAGGTCAGGTCAAGGGTACAAAATGCAAGTTTCTACAGTATCGGCCTTGCACCGTAGTTTCCGAAGAACGGACTGAGACTGATTGCCCAAAACGCGTTCTTAGGCTATCAAGACAATATTCGTTGCATTCAATATCATGCAAAGGTCAAGGTCAAGGTCAGGTCAGGTCACCAAAAGCGAAATATAGAAAAGGACATGTGCGACGCATGTTTTATTGGTCATTTTATTCCTAGAATTCAATAGGCACACTCAATAAGTGATATGGACCACATATGGATGAATTTCAGGTCGAGGTCAGGTCAAGATCAGGTCAAGTGAGGTCAAATTTTGAAGTTGGTTGTTAAGACCTAAAAACGTATCTATCTGATGCAGCTTTTCACGGCGAATCGAATGGTGCTATTTTTGTTTCCGTACGATGTCTAGAACGTCAAAAAAAAAAAACTTTTTTTTTTTTAATTATAGGTCGTGACGTCATAAAATTTTGAATAACTCCCACATTTTTGAACCGATTCTTCTAATAATTGGTATGTAGGCGCACGTAGACCACTTCTCTGACATATATTCCGGTTTTTCGATACACTCAAAAGTTTCGATTTTTTAATTATTTCCCCAAAAAGTCAGCTAAAAAATGGGCCAAAATCCAAAATTTTCCAAAAACCGAGATAGCCATTTGATAGACTAAGTAAAATCACGTATAACCTTTTTGTTACGTCTTGATTTCTTTAAAAAATGAAGATGTTAGCGGCGTTTGAAATTTTGCCGTTATTGAGGCGAAAATGGCGGACATGACATCACTTAAACGTCATTTTCTAAAAAAAAAAAAATCCGACGGATTTCGCTCATATTTTCAGGAAACATTGATGTATGGTAAGGTACTGAAAGTTTGACGTCGCTGGCGTAACGCGTTTAGAAGTTATTGGCGAAAAACGGGAGGGGGGCAGATTCTCTCCCCCTAGCGGGGCGCGGGTTAAGGTAAAGTCCACAGCATAAGTAATGTGTGGCTTCAGTCATGAGTATGTTCTGCTTTTGAAGCTTAGGAACGATTAGCCAGACTACAATGGAACTTTGAATGTAGCTTACATGTAGGTATCGTCACCTTTGCAGCTGCAACTTCATAGGCGGCGGAACGGGGAGGGCACCGGGGCAACGTGCCCCCCTTTGATTTTGGCATTTTAACATTAGCCCTATGGGCGTTGCATGGAAAAAATGGGACCAAATGTCAGCAGTGCCCCCCCCCCCCCCTTAAAGGGACCCTCCCACCTTAACATTAGTTTTGAGTTGAGATAGCCAAGTTTGCGGCCAGGCTCAGAAACCACCATTTATCCTGGTCGCAACCCCCGCAGCTTTATGGTGTTCAAGAAATTTCTTCCCTTTACTTGCAGGGTGGGACCAGCGTGGTCCCTATCTCTTAACCATTACGGGAATCTGATGACGTCATCAGGCTTTCGAACGTCCGTTAAATGTTTGACTAAAACGTTTTGTAGCACGCGGTGGTATATGCTGCTTTGCGCGCAACAAATGCCGCACTTTCAAAAATTGGAGGTGTTCCGCCGCTACTGTGCAACTTTACTGCTGGCGTCTTCCTTTCGATCACTCCGCATTAAAAAATTGCCAGTCAAAGCCATCCGCTGTGATTGGTAAAAACGCACATTTTAAGCGGTGGGCTTTACATCAAATAGTTGGCTGTAAAAAATCCAAAATCTGTTCGAAAGTCGACGGAATCTCTGCCCGCCTGTCCGTTTGCCGTCAAATAGAGGGTAGGCTGTACCGCAACACACCAGAGTCATGCGGCACAGTCCAGCTTTCAGGCGTTTTACGCCGCGGCGCGGCTCGTGTTGGGACTTCAATGACCACCGTTTTCAACCGTGTATACCTAAGGTAAGCATTTGTTACATTGTAATTATGGGATTATCTTACATCAATGTTACAGTGGCGCGGGAACTTCTTCCAGACGGGGGGGTTGAACCATAATAAAGATCAACCTAGGGTACCCCCAAATCTAGTTTTCTCACCGGTTTTAGGCCACTTATTTTTTTCAGACCTTTGCCTTTTCAAGGAAAAAACGAAAATATTTGCAAAAAAGTGAGGTATTCCATATCAGCTGAGTGGCAACCTGGAATCAAGGTTTTAATCTGCCAAATGAGTTGCCGAGCCAGTGAAAGAGGTGGATTTTTCACACATGCTTTTTTCCTTTGTGACCCATAACCCCTAATTTGGGGAGGACAAGCTGCCCCAACGGTTCCTGGCCCCATGAAAAGTTGTGGGGCACCGCCCCCACGGATCCAGAGTTGTGAGACAAGCTTCCCCCACTGCCCCCTCCCCCGGCTCCCGCGCCTATGTATGAATCTATGAATTTATGTTGGTAGATTTCCGATTTCGATTCCTCCAGCTGGGGGGGGGGGGCTCGAATACATTACAAGCCCCCAGCCGAAATGTTGGGGGGGGCTCAGCCCCCGCAGGCCCCCCCGGTTCCCGCGCCACTGTCACCGTAATAAGATAAACTTTGCTATTTATTGAAGCACGATTTTTAACTAGCCTTTATGACAAGACTGGATAGACGGTGTCTCACGGTGTCTCTTAACGACTACCTACCCATGTTACCGTTTAACTAATAACTAGTGCTGATGCAGATAATTTAGAATGGGTATGTTTATTCACATCCGTTCTCTCGTTCTCAGGAGCATCCATACTTAACGCTCATTCACGATCCATGATATGACACTTCCTGTTTCGTGTTGACGCCCATCCCACCAGACAAATGGCGGAATGGCGTCACCATCTGGTGACCGTTTAATTGGTGGGGTGACCAGTCACACCCCACGGGCCATGGGCTCATCCCGTCCCAACTGTCAAACCGCTGGGGTGCATCAATTAGCGACTCCATCTTATACATCTCCCTTCCTGACATGTCTTTTCATCTTACGGTCTTGATATGGTCTCAATAGATCAAAACGGACCGACCTTACCTCTCTCCCTAAAAATAATTATCGGGTGTACGGCTGAAATGTTCTGAAAAAGTTAAAGAAAATTGAGCAAAGAAAGATAAAAGTTGTAATACACGTATTGCCTTGTAAAACGCCGTCTTATCAAAGTGTTCTCCTTCTTCACACCTGTCGCATAAGTACCTAAGTCTCGTTAGAATTTCTTTAATTTTGTTGCATGAGTGCATGGCCGGCTCTGTCCCCTCGGCAACCAATGTCTGCTGGATGGCACCTTTATGCTGCTGATTCCAGTCGTTGAATACAGCGGCTGCTGAGCAGGAGGAGGCAGGAGCGGCGGCGGCGGCGGTGATGTGGCCGTCCCTCCCTGCCGGCTCGCCGCCGACGCTGCCTGGCGGCCGACGGGCGAGGCTCCCCGATCGATCGTCAGGCCCGCGCGGCCGCGGCGGCGGCGGCGACGGCGGCAGACACCGGCCGGACCTCGCTGCCGCTGTGGCCGGCGCCACGCTGCCGACCCAGGTAAGGGCGACGCTGACGCCGCCGCGCCGGGCGCCCAGCCCGTGACCGGGTCAGGGGTCAGGGCACCGGGGCAGGGCGCATGAGGGATGGTTGAATCCGGGTGGGAAGGTTTATTTGACGATGGGATTCTGCATTGGCCGTCGTGCGAAGCGTGGCGTTTATAAACAACACGCTACACACATTGTTTGCACAAAGATGCGATGCTCCATTTTAATTGAGTTCCTTACAACTATAGTCCGTCGCTCATGATTGTGGATCGCCGATGCGTGTGACGATCCCGAACTATCGACGTCTCGGGGTCGGGCAGGGGATCGGTCCGGGCATGCGTGTGGCTCGTCGGCACCCACCGTGCGCTGTTGCGTCTGCAGCCTCCGACACATTGATAACCGGCTATCGACTGGTTGAATCAGCGGGAACGTGTCGCTGGTTAATTGTGAGACGGTTGGGATGGGTGGATTATTAGTCTCGTAATGAGCTGATAGCTCCGCAATGTTGAAGCAAAGGCGACTCTGAGTTCAGATTCACGATAAGTCACGAGGCTCTCGTAAGCCACTGCTCAAGTCCGGCTTGTTACTAATCTCTGCACCTTTTTCACCAGCAATTTATTTTAAGATCGAACCAACAAGGACTATGGAACATTCCAGTGTATGTCATTCCAGGAGTACATACAGACTAGTTCCTGCTTACTTTTAAAAATGAAACCATTGCCGCTCGTTTTTCAATTCAGATCTATTATTTATGTACTTCTGGTGTTCTGAGCCCATTCGTTGCAAATTCCTAAGTATAAGTTATATTCCTATAATTCCTATATTCCTAAATTCCTATATATAAGGTTTTCATCCCCCGCTTAACAACTAAGCTCTGGCCCTGCTTCCGGATTTTTTTCACCCTCCCCCCCCCCGCTCAACAACTTTTTATCTGAGTCAATTTTGAGTCAACTCACTTGACTCAACAAAAAATTTGAGTCAAGTTTGAGTCGACTCATATTTTCATCGAGCCGCTTGAGTCATGAGTCGAGTCAAGGGAAAAATCAGCTCCTTGTTTGAGTCAGAGTTGAGGCAAGGCTTTCTGAAGTTGAATGATGAATCGAGTCGGCAAATTTTTTTGAGTCGAGCACAACCCTGCTTCTTAGTTGTGCTATCGGTGATTCCCTACTGTCCTAAGAGTAAACCATGATAAATAAGGGTATTATATTTAGGTAAAGTTTTCATACCTACTTATTTACTAATTCTACCTTACCTCTCCAGTCTCCACCACCCGTTCAGCAATTTCTTTTTTACTTTGACAGAAATGTCTTGTTCTGTTGACTGTGTGAAGAGCCGTGCCTTGACAAAGTGTGCCCGACTTCAGATATAATATCATTCGGATCCATTTTAAGCCACGTTTGAATGTGCATTCAGATTGGTAGGAACTGGTCGAGTCTACGGGAATAGAGAAGACCTGAAAGTTTTCGGATCTAACTAGTTAGTTTTGCTTAGATCAAGAAGTTTTCAACTTAATGAAGTTAAATTAGAAAAGCTTATCATAACTTATCAAAACAGGCTTATTTCTATTCATTTAAATATCCTCTTTGCAGTCCGGATTCCAAACCGTTCTAAAGAATAACGGCAAAAGACTTGTGACTTAAAATTCTAAAGAATAACGGCAAACGACTTGTGACTTAAAATTTCAGGTTTCGGTTTGCGATATACTAAAACGAACAAAGTAGGTAGGTAATCTTGAAAACGAATCATTTCCATCTCCCATAATGCTCGAAGACAGGAAACCAATAGAAAGCAGACGTCCTTAGGTCATTTTTTTATCATGATGTTTGTCATCAGGCACCAGTGATAGAGGCCGTGGAATAGGTGTGCGTACAGTCTTTTTTTTGGGGGGGGTTCACTTCACCATCGGATCTGCAGTGTGCGCACAACCCGCGCTCCGCTCTCTTAGCTCACTGCGCTTCAATTAAACCTACTTGCAAGTTATATATTAATCCGACGTGATTCGGGACATCGGTGGGGGAGCCCGAAAACGTTATTAAAATTAAGGTTATTAAAAGGAGACGGTCATTAAAAACGACGATGCCTTATTTATTGAACCGATTTAACGAGCGTGAGTCTCACTAAATAAACTTTAAATCTTCCCTATTATCAGCTAATAAAAAGAAGCCGTACGTCTTTAGCTACGGAAACCTTTTGCATAAACTGGCCATGTTTCGATGATTCTATTCGACAATTTTTTTTAGGCATGCTCCATTCATTGAAACACCTGTTATGTGTTTACCTCAGCAATACGGATAGACTGAGCTACAAAATGACTTTTTTCGGTCAGAATATTACCCTGACTTGTGTTCAACTTTTGAAGTTGACCGTTTTAGGCCAAATTTAACACCTGTGTCTGTAGACGACAGAAGCACAGCGAGAGTAATTGGATACACTATACACTACATACGATGGCATTGAAGCATTGTTGCATAAAACTGTTAGCGTAAAAAGTCTCTTGGACAGTTCTTGGATCTTAGTCTCTATGCCAAAACGTTTCCGGAGTTACAATACAACTTTTCTGCAAGATTCAACATTGGTTTAATCATAGGAAAATAATATTTTTGATAACAAATCTATTGTTTGAGTTAATTGCTAAAGGTTATCGAAAAAGTGAAATTGTTTAGGTTGGTACTTGCTTATATTGATTCGGCAATAGCTTTATTTCATATAAAATTATATCAGGAACAATTATCATGAAGTCCGTTTTCGATATCTTTTTCTGGACGCTCTACCGTTTGAATATAACTGACCATCGAGACTCGAATATAAGAGACTCATACCTCGCACCTCAAATATTAGTTTCCTAGATATTTGTTATGTGCTTAGGGCTGCTCAGTTCTTATGCTGACCATATTTATCCGTCGCTCTCGTGCTCGCAAAAACCGGACTGTGATTTTGGGACTGTATTCAGCTAGACCGGTTTTTGGTGAGGTGACACATGCCCACATATGCGTTACAGTCCGACAAGAACGTATGCACATAGACACTGGAAGGACAGCACAACACTTATCTGTGACTACACAATTTTAAGTGGTCATACAGGTGCAAAGATATCAACACCAATCACGTGACGCGGTGGTGACTGGGGTTGGCGGTGGGATTTGACAGATGTGTGCGCCTCGGTCGACGGCTGCACACTGCGGTACTTGGGCCCATGGGGCACCCGATACCGAGCTGTTGACGTCATCTCGTTCGCTGACGTCACACCTACCCTCCTTTGTTCCTCCAAGCCTGGTGTAGGTCAAAGACCGCGTGTGTGCGTGGCCGAGGCGACCGATAAAGGACTTCAGACAACGTGGTCGTCTGAATTGTCATTTACCATACGCTCTCTAAATCAACACTGGCGGCGCACAGACACTTGTCCTCTACTCTAGAACGGTGTGTGGCACCGCAGGCGCGGTGCGCTGACGGCCTCCCGTGTGACCTCCGCCGCAGGGCACCGGGCGCGCGGCGCGACCATGCCCTGAGGTGATGGTGAGCTCAGCAGAGGCCGAGCCGGCACCCGGAGCTCGTGGTCGCTGACCGGTCGGTGCCATGGGGACCAGCTGCTCCACCACGTCCACCGCCTCGGACGAGTCCATCAACAAATATGGAGACAGGTGAGCGCACGGAGCAACCGTGGCTTTTCTGTTTTAGTTGTGATAAATTTCTTTTAGAATGCAATTGAATATTTTAAGAAATGTCATGGCATGATGAAATGTTGGTAAACACGATTTAAAAAAGACATTGAAGAACGATGAGAAGTTGCTTCCCGGCTGAGACATTTGGATATCTAATGACTATCAAGAAAGTCAAAATAATTACAAGCAAATAAGTTTGATATTATCCACGGCACTTACGTCGTTTTTATTCAATCTTCATGAGCTGATGGCGGAGGCGCTCGCCTCTGCGTCAGCCCCGCTGCCGGTCTCCGTGTTTCTGTGACCCCATGCGCCGCTCCCGCGCTGGGGACCGGCCCCGCGTCCAGGCTCATAACGCACGCCCATACGAATTAGTGGCATTACGCGACACTGCCTTATGAGACGGCGCCCAATGGATTTCGGATAATCTGGCCCGCTTATTGGTGCTCTGCTCAACTGTTGACATTGATTATTATGTTGGTCCGGTGGAGGGGCGCCTCCGTGGCGCGCCCCGACTGCCCTCCGCAGTCCAGGGGGTCGTACCGCGGCTGATGACTGATGGTGGCGTGCTGCCCCTGCTCGACTGCCAAATGTCAACGGTCATGACTAATTTCTAGGAGACAAGTAGCTAATTTCAACACATTTCATGTTCATTTTTTCTTGACTATAACTTTGTCATTAAATGTGATCATCGTAATATTAAAATGAGATTGAGGTAATGGCTTTTGATAGTAACCTAAGTAGTTTTCAGATGAAGAAGAATGACAATTAATTGCCACTGAAGAAGCGATTAATGCTCATGAGCTATGCTGTCTCCTTATAGCCAGTACTTTATTTAACGGACTTACGCCTTTATAACCAAGTTTCTATGCGGAACATGCCACATGATATACCATTCTGGAGACTAATGCTATAAATTGAGGCGAGCCAATCAGTTTTTCTTATTATACCTTAAATGTCTTTGCATTATCCTAAGTGTTTGCATATGACCGGTCTGCCCAGTTTTACAAGGGAGAAATGCAGGAACATATAAAGAATAACATTAATTATTTAGTATCTGTGACAAAATAAATAGACACTCTGCTATCTATTCCGGACAGTTTCGTAACTGCAGATAAAGTAATGATAGATATTGTGTGCTCGGTTATTATGCCCGTTCTAAATGATACGCACAGGTTAATTGTGTTTTACGTCATGCTGTGCCTGTAGCCACTCGCCTTTTCAATGTAATGGCAAAAATTGCCGATGTAATTTTTCTTAAAAGTGAGATGTTGTAACCGGTATATGGGTCTGAGCCGTTCTGACCACGGACCCCTGCCCCTGCACTGACCCGTCCACTGTGGCCGCTGCAGGGCGGCGGCGGAGAAGGCGGCGCGCGAAGGGCCGCCGGCCGACAGCCCGCCCTACACACCCAGCTCGCTGCACTCGTGGGGCTCCGGCTCCGCCGTGGGCACCGAGCACCCGATGTCCACCGTCGGACAGCGTCAGGTGGACACGGTCGACACCGAACACCAGGACAACTGTGAGCAGACGCTCGCGGCGGCCGATAGCCCCGGTCTGGCCGGGCCCAGACTTGACCGGGTCTCCCGACCCGACCCCGTCAGACTCCATGTCATAGTTACTCTCATCTCTTTTTAATCTGCCTCATGTAATTCAATGTGTGTTGTCATCTAAAAATTACGCGATAGCCAACTGATGATCATCCGATATCGTTTTTTCTCTCTCGTTTGTACTTTTTAAATAGCATAGCCAGTCTCTATTGAAGTGAAAATGTACCTTCTTACGCAAATTGCTAGATATATATGAGGCATTGAGACTTACTCTACACCCGGTATCCCGTGTATCCGCTGTCTGGTCGCTGTCTGTACTATGTCTCGCACCGCTGCGGCTGTTGGCAGCGCTCGCCACGCATAACATTCAGCGCGCTCGGCGCTGTTGCACCTGATGTCGGCAGCGATGCGCGTGCCGGCGCCCACACAGCAGGCCGTCAGCAAGAGCTCCTCGTCCACCGACCAGCCGCTGCTCGATCCGGGCCTGCCCGACCTCAGTAAACTCAGTGAGCTCGTCCGCAGCCTCGTCACCGGAGACATCAACTACGTCAAACCGATCCTCAAGCCGCGGAAAATCTGCATCTACACATGTGGCGATCTCCAAGGTAAGTAAACTTGATTGCTTTCGGATCCAGCGTTCTTTATGAATTATGCTTCGGCTTCCTAACAGGATCTTCCGTTTCTGCTTTCCAAATTCCAATCATGCGATATTTTACTCATGCAATGCTTATTCTTATCTTCTTGTGAAATGACTTTTCTTCTGGCACTGATGAGAGAATGCACTATGTAGTGCATCAAAACAATTCATCGGATCGCTCAACGAAAACGGCCAGGAATGATTGACTACACATAAACTTACCTGTCATAGTAGACTAACCCGCAGCACCTAGCAGCGCTGCGGTACAGCCTACCCATCAGGCAGGCGGCGCCGGCTCCGGTGGGCTGCTGCCAGAGAAGCGAACATTTAGCAGTATGTTACTGAATATGTCCGTGACTGTACCAAACGTTTCCAGGCTGAAGTATGACGTCATTTTTTTCTATCCGTCAGACACAATAATGGAGCGGTCATCACTCATGGACTACGTATACCCGAAACTGCGCATGTACTGCATCGAGAGAGGTTACGAGCTTAACGTGATCGACTTGCACTGGGGCCTACCGGATGAACATTTAAACGACCACTCCCTCAAAGAGCTTTGCCTGAACGAGCTTAAAAGTGAGTGCCAGGAACACGGAAGTACAATTTTTGTACCAATTTCCGGGAGACATTGTGGAGGTTAATGTCTTATTATGTAGTTTTGGGTATAGGTACTACCTTAGGCCTCTTACGTAACAGCAGGCTGTTATATAACGGCCTATAATATTTTTGATGCCCGTAATTCTTCAATCGATTTATATAGGTTTTGTGATTGCATCTAGCATTATTGGCCTGCTCTTTTGAAATGTGATGGATTATTGGTAGGATTATGAAGCATGTCGATACGAAATGAAAATTTCGTCATTGTGACGCTAAATTAGGTGCAAGACAAAATACCAATAAGAAGAGATTATGCGTCGAACACCCGGCGATTAATATATCCGTGTTTAGCAGCAGGCTTCGACAGTTGCATAAGCATTTAATTATGAAAGTTTTGTCGATCTCACTTCATGCAATGACGATGGCAAATTCTTGTGACCTTCCCCAGGTCACGCCAAAGATTCACATGTGGTGACCATCGTGTTTTTGAACGATACCTTCGGCAACCCGCTGCTGCCCCGGTGCATCGAAGGTCCGGACTTCGACCAGGCGGTGTCGCGGATAGAGGATGAAAAGGTACTTGAGCTAGCTATCCAATGTGAACGACGGCAATGCAAAGGGCACCGCGAAACGCATTACTTACCGTGATGTCCGATGTAAGCGGCTTAAAAGAAATATGAATCATTCTAAATTGAGCTAATGAATACATTAGTTGTAAATCAATATGCTTAATATGAAAACTTTATTTTATGAATGTCGGCACTATGTATGTTTCTTATACCGTAAGACCGCATTCCGATGCCGTACGCTCGCTGTTTTTGTGTTCTGGCAGGACCGGGAACTGCTCTGGACGTGGTACCAATGGGACGAGAACGCCTCGCCTCCGTGCTACCGGCTGGCCCCCATCAGCACACAGATCCCCGATATCAAGGTACGGTCCTCGTCGCTACGGCGGGCTAGTTTCGTGCGATTTCATTCAGAAACAAACTTTGCCATTTGGTGAAGTCATGGCTGTTGGGATCTACGGTTGTTGGCTTCGCTCAGAGGGTATCATAAGATATGTTGAATTTCCTCTCTGACCCGAGCCTTCATTCATTAGTTAGAGTAAAAGGAATGGTCAGCTGATATAGTCAGTCAGCTGTAATCTATATGATCCGCTGAAGGAACATAATATAAAGGTCTTGTGTTAACTTGTACGCACAGGAAATGACAGCGGAGAAAAGGGCAGACGCCATCAAGGAGTGGCGGCATATCGTCAAAGAAATGATGAACACCATGCGAAAGGCATTCAATCAAGAACAAAAGGAAAAGTATCTCACCTCGGTCATGGAACAGGTAAGGGGGAAGCAGTACCTATTCTAAAAGGTCTAAAAGTCTAAAAGGTGTTGTGTTTTACATTTATCTACAGTGTTGATTATTATGTTCTAGCAATGCAATGTGTAGTAACTGCCCCTCCGCTATTTCCAGGAAATCAAGCAGGCAGTATTTTTGAACCAGCAGTCGGCGAAGCGGTGTCTGTGGCTGTGCCGACGGTTCACCCACTTTCCGTCACACAACGTTCCCGAGGACGCCAAATCGTACATCTCCACCGAGCCGGAATCAAAGAAACGGCTCGACATTCTCAAGTCAGAGCTGAAGGTGGGTGAGGTTGGAGAAGCTTAGTGACGTCAGCGAGCTACTTAATTACGTCAAAATCAACCATGTCTAAATAATTCATAAATTTGCTTAAAATGATGCGTTATTAGCGTGCTCATATTTGACCGAGCCTCATTTATTCCGCCAGGAGCGGCTGGATGAAACGCGAATGCTCAAATTTATGGTCAAGTGGCACACGGGCGGCATGGACGTGAAACACAGCGAGCATAAACAGTTCGTGGAGGACCTGTGCGCACAGTTTTCACCCCTCATCATTTCAGTCATCGATAATGTTCTGTCTGAGGACGAATCCAAGGTGAGACTTCGGCATCGGTGTAATGGAGACATTTTTCACTATCGAAACATTGTGGTTACTCCTATAGGTACGTGAAAACGGAACTTTTGTTAAAGGTGGCAGTTATGTCCTCTTGACTTCTCGCCATCGTGACAGCTGCCGTGATGCTGATGAATAATGACTATGTTCCACCGCAGCTTTCACACATTCAGGAAGAGTTGAAGACCTACCTTGGCGTGGAGAAGCGACTTTTCCACGAGCTGATGCAACAGTCGCTGGCGTGTAAAAACCGCTTCAGCCGGTTCCACGGCCGGCCAGAGATGCTCGTCAAAATCCGAAGGTAAACCATTATACAGCTATCGAGTACGTTATCTGTGATGCCTCTGACTTTAGCTGCGCTCTTTTACTCTCATCTATGAAATTTAACTCCTATTGCCTGTTTCCGGATTAACGCTAATTTCGTTCCAATCGGCGTGTCATGTTAGCCCGGCAGTTGCTGGGGTATTTCGCCACCCACCGTTTGCTGGGGGGGGGGGGGCGTTAAACGCCCCCAGCCGATAACTCGAGAACCAATAGGCGCAGCGAAACGCACGAGGCGGCAAACGAAAGAACGCGACGAGACGCTTCAGATGAGTACTTTAAAGTTGAATTTGGAGGTCACAGGTCGGGTCAAGGTCAGGTCAAACACCTGAAATCGGGCTTTCAGTAGCATGAACTTCAGGACTTCGCAATGGGCGCCTCTCGTCATAAACTCTGTCAAAACGGTGCACAATCCATCATATAAGGCCTACAAGAGTGTCAGCTCCATGTAGGGGTCAGTCAAGCATAGGTCAAGGTCAAGGTCAGGTCAACCGGGTAGGCACATATCCCCGAAAATCAAAACTGATATTCGCAGCCTGTGACACGTGTTTTATAGGTAATTTGGGGCGTAGAACACGATGGTGACATTCATTTTATCATATGTGTACGTGTTTGGCTCAAAAAGTTCAATTTAAGAAATGCATGTATCATGGTCGTGAAGTAGTCACGAGAAATTGCCAAGATTCAGTTCAAGATTTTGGAAAATGCGGAACGATAATCAATAATCGAAGATAGCCATTTGATTGTTCATGGTATTGGCAGTCTAGTGGCGTTTACTGCATGTCTGTATGTCTGTTCTATGATTTTATATGATTTTTTGAACATATGCCGTTTTTGGTCGAAAACTCAGAAATCATGACGTCACTAAAACCTCGATATCTCAAAAATTTTCGGACCGATTTTTTTGAAACTTTGTCACAAGGAACTTCAATCTATTCCCTACAGGTACCCAAAATTTGGCGCGCCTGCGGCGCGCCGTTTTTATGCTATGGCCCGGAGAAAAAAGTGGGGGCGTTTAACGCCCCCCCCCCCCCAGCAACTCGCGGGTTAGGATACCAGGTCCGCTGGTAATTCAGCTTCAGCAGCGACTATGGGATAATTCTGAGCTCTGTTGGTCTCCCCAGGTACCTGAACAATGACTCCTGCGTGCCGCTGATTCTTCACGGGAGGGCCGGCTGCGGCAAATCGTCGCTCGTGGCCAAGGTGGCAGAACAGTGCGGCAACTGGCTCAACAATCCGCAGCTCAGCGTACGATTTATCGGTGAGAATCATTACACATTACACAATGTGCTCTCAGTTACCGCTTGTGCTCATCACAAACTCAAACGAAAATCGCACCGTGACATCTGTAAAATTGCTTCAGTGATGAAGCGTCCATCTAGAGTGTCCACTGTCCAACTTTCTGAATTTCGCGCACAATCCAGAAAATGTGTCTCGTTTACGGCAACTGCCTTCCCTATCCGCGGTACAGGTCTGACACCGGACAGCAGCACTACCGAGCTGGTTCTGCGCAGCATTGCCGAGCAGTGCTGCGTTCTGTACGGAGAGCACTCGGCCACCGTCAGCAAGGTTAGACAGTCCACTGGACTCCGCGCGGGCTGAGGAACGCTGAGTTTATCGTAGCCGAGTCGGCTCGGTCGGGTTTCATCATTGCTTTTGTTTTCGCTTCGGGCGCCTAAGTTGTAAAGATATCCGTGCGGTGATAATTCAAATAAGTTTTGAATTATTTACGTTTATTCTTAAAAAGAGTTTAAGCAAATTTGATGCATTTTGCATTGAACATCACGATGCATAAACATGTTACATAAAACTTGGCTGTCTTGACCCGGTACATGGCCTCTTTTGCAGGGTATTGGAGACCTGAACACATATCTGGCTCGCGTTCTGAGCAAGGCCAGCGCCGCGCGTCCCCTGGTGGTCATCATAGATGGACTCGACCAGGTCAGTCACGCAGCGGAAACACAATAAAAAATGTTCCATTGCCATTTCGCATCCAACCGTCTTTCAGCGATAGGTACCGACCGGTTGCACAGTCTCGAAATCATAATTCGCCATTAAAATGGTGCTTTCCGGTACAGTACATCATATCTTTAGGCGTACGCTCTTGCTGCCATCTGATGGCAGAAATATCACGTGCGGCGCAGTATACCAGCAGGCGTTAAATGGTAGCGTCATCTAGCAGCAATCATTTACTGTAGTCCGGTGCAGTCTACCTTCAGGTGTGCGTCACTGCGGCCATCTAGCAATAGCGCTTTCGGGTGTTTTGCGGTGCAGTATACCTACAGACGTTGAATGGTAGCGTTATCTAGCGGCAATAATATCGGCTGTCTTCCGGTGCAGTCTACCTTCGGGCGTGCGTTACTGCTGCCATCTAGCGATAGCTCTGTCGGGTGCTGTGCGGTACAGTATACCTACAGGCGTTGAATGGTAGTGTCATCTAGCGGCAATAATATCGGCTGTCTTCCAGTGCAGTCTAACTTCAGGCGTGCGTTACTGCTGCCATCTAGCGATAGCTCTGTCGGGTGCTGTGCGGTACAGTAGTTATACCTACAGGCGTTGAATGGTAGTGTCATCTAGCGGCAATAATATCGGCTGTCTTCCAGTGCAGTCTAACTTCAGGCGTGCGTTACTGCTGCCATCTAGCGATAGCTCTGTCGGGTGCTGTGCGGTACAGTATACGTACAGGCGTTGAATGGTAGTGTCATCTAGCGGCAATAATATCGACTGTCTTCCGGTGCAGTCTACCTGGTAACCGGACAAAAGATCGTAAAGCAGAAGATCGTATGGCAGAAGATCGTAGGCAGTTGATCGTATGCAAAATATCGTAATGGATAAAGATCGTACGACATAATGCTCGTATGGACAAAAGATCGTATTCGCTAAAGATCGTCAAGGAAAATGATCGTATGCCAAAAAGTCGTAATGGATAAAGATCGTACGACATAATGATCGTATGGACAAAAGATCGTATTCGCTAAAGATCGTCAAGGAAAATGATCGTATGCCAAAAAGTCGTAATGGATAAAGATCGTACGGCATAATGCTCGTATGGACAAAAGATCGTATTCGCTAAAGATCGTCAAGGAAAATGATCGTACGCCAAATGATCGTATGAGATAAAGATCGTACTGTCAAAATATGGTATTCACATGGTGCAGCCCAACTCCAGCGCATACAAAGCTTATCAATTTCTGTGTTCGCGTAGTAAGTGGCCGTCGTAAGCTCGACCATACATTGATGTTATTTCAGAGCTTAGATGGCTCAATGACACCTAAAAGCAACGCGTTGTATATGTGCCGAATAAATGAATGTATGTGCTGCCGTTTTCATGTAGGTACCTATTTGAAGTGAATACAACTAAACCCATGTTCCCCCCCCCCCCCACCGCCTGGAAGGTTAAAATGTTGCTTAAAGGGACTATCCCACCTTTAACATGGGGTTTGAGTTGAGATAGCCAAGTTTGCGGCGAGGTTCAGAAACCACTATCTATCTAGGTTGCAACCCCCGCGGCCTCTTGGTGTTGAAGAAATTCGTTAATCGTTCCCTTCATTTGAAAATGGGCCTTGTACAAGGCCCTATCTTCAACCATGGAGCGACCGTTAGTGTGACGTCACCTCGTTTAGTCATTCTGATTTAAATGGGTTTGTTCGTTGAAAAATCGCTTAAAACTTGGTCTGAACTTTGTTGTGGTGCCTACAGAGTAAAAAGAATCAGCTTTATGGCAGTAATGTGGCCTGGGGAAGGAGGTAATTTTGGGCTGTGACGTCACATATTTGAAAGTTTGTGTGTTTGGAATATGGGAAGCCTAAGATGTTTAATGAAAAATAAATGCCAGAACCGTGTTCCTGGTCATCCAATCTATAAAGTCGGGCACAATTTAACTGGTTTTAACAACATTTTAGAAGGTGGGATAGTCCCGGCAGTTGCTAGGGTATTTCGCCACCCACCGTTTGCTGGGGGGGGGGGGCGCGTTAAACGCCCCCAGCCAATAACTCGAGAACCAATAGGCGCAGCGAAACGAACGAGGCGGCAAACGAAAGAACGCGACGAGACGCTTCCGATGAGTACTTTAAAGTTGAATTTTGAGGTCACAGGTCGGGTCAAGGTCAGGTCAAACACCTGAAATCGGACTTTCAGTAGCATGGACTTCAGGGAATTCGCAATGGGCGCCTCTCGCCATAAACTCTGTCAAAACGGTGCACAATCCATCATATAAGGCCTACAAGAGTGTCAGCTCCATGTAGGGGTCAGTCAAGCATAGGTCAGGGTCAAGGTCAGGTCAACCGGGTGGGCACATATCCCCGAAAATCAAAACTGATATTTGCAGCCTGTGGCACATGTTTTATGGGTAATTTGGGGCGTAGAACACGATGGTGACATTCATTTGATCATATGTGTACGTGTTTGGCTAAAAAAGTTCAATTTAAGAAATGCATGTATAATGGTCGTGAAGTAGTCACGAGAAATTGCCAAGATTCAGTTCAAGATTTTGGAAAATGCGGAACGATAATCAACAATCGAAGATAGCCATTTGATTGTTCATGGTATTGGCAGTCTAATGGCGTTTACGGCATGTCTGTATCTCTATTCTGTGATTTTATATGATTTTTTGAACATATGCCGTTTTTGGTCGAAAACTCAGAAATCATGACGTCACTAAAACCTCGATATCTCAAAAATTTTCCAACTGATTTTTTTTTAAACTTTGTCACAATAAACTTCAATCAATTCCCTATAGGTACCCAAAATTTGCCGCGCCTGCGGCGCGCCGTTTTTATGCTATGGCCCGGCGAAAAAAAGTGGGGACGTTTAACGCCCCCCCCCTCCCCCAGTAACTCGCGGGTTAAGCGGCTGAAGTAAACGGCGTTAAAAATACTTTTTCCTTCGCACTGTTACATTTTCATATTGAATCGTCATCGCTTTACGAGTCATCAACAGATGTTTATCGCGTTATCAGTTATCACTATCGAAGTCGCAATTCTCCTAGTTATAGGATCCTAGTTTCAATCCAATCCTAGTTATAGGAGTCATTGTTATTGAAGGCCAGTTAAAGATGTCAATTGTCCATCATTGGTTCGAAATCGCCCCAGTAATTACCGAGTTACTGAAATGGGAACACATTTGGCACCTCTTCTTTTTGTATTTTGCACGTGCATTGGGGGTCACTCACATAGATCAAGGGTATCCGACCTTTGGTAGAAGGGATGCAGCTACCCTATAAAAACTACCGCAAGACAATTGCTCAAGCCGCTGCTGAGATATGGGCCTCTCAAAATCATTACTTTTGCAAAACTGCTTGAACACCCTTGACTTCTCACGTGGCACGTGCCACGACGGCCACTGAGATGCATCAAAAGTAGTCAATCACGGGGAAGAAGGGATGGGGCTACCCAGCAAAAAAGACCGCAGGCCAATCGGTTCAGCGGTTGCTGAGATATAAGCCTCTCAAAAGCGTTACAGGCCGGGCCGGGCCGGGCCGGGCCGCTCATACTGAGATTTTCCCGTTATATTCAAAAGACTTCGCTTCGCTCGCTGCGCTCGCTCGCTCGTAACAACACTATTCTATACGATTATTTACTTTACGAACGTAACGTTACGATCTTTTGTCGAACGATCTTTTACAACATACGATCTTTATCTTACGATCATTTTCCTACGATCTTTTTTGTACGATCCATTGCTTTACGATCTTTTGCTTACGATCCTTGGTCGTACGATCTTTTGCGACATACGATATTTATCTTACGATCATTTTCCTACGATCTTTTTCATACGATCAATTGCTTTACGATCTTTTGCTTACGATCTTTTTGTCGTGCGATCTTTTACAACATACGATCTTTATCTTACGATCATTTTCGTACGATCTTTTGCATACGATCAATTGCTTTACGATCTTTTGCTTACGATCTTTTAACCGTACGATCTTTTACAACATACGATCTTTATCTTACGATCATTTTCGTACGATCTTCTTCCATACGATCTTCTGTCTTACGATCTTTTGTCACGTAATCGTCTACCTTCAGGCGTGCGTTACTGCTGCCATCTAGCGATGGTGGTGTCGGCCAGTATATGATGCAGCACGCACCAGCCATTCTAACACGAACTTGGGCGTCGGGTCTTACAGTTATAACGTTTTGTCGGAACGGTCTTCTGTTGACCGATGCTTGAAAAATTACACAACTATAGCAACCAACCAAGAATTTCTTACTCCGGGCTATGGGCTGAAGTAAGTCATTTAAGGGAAGCGCTTTCAACGGGCCGAAACAAATAACACAATTTATCTTTAATCAGAATAGGTACTGCAAATCCACTCCTGATTGAATCCTCAGTCTCTCGGTCGTGTGTAGCATGATGAAAGCGAATGTAAATTGTGTCCAATCGACCTAAAAATGCAAATGTAGCCAGTCTCCCTACCTGACGTTTGTTTTATGTTTGTGCCATTTGGCAGGTCCGGTCGTACAGCACCCGGAAGATGGACTGGGTGCCCAAGGAGTTGCCCGAGCACACCAAACTCATCCTCACCATGGCCGACGACTGTGAGGAGTTTGCCGATCTGGAGAAAAAGATCGACGACAAATCCTGCTTCCTGAAGGTAGGTCCACAATATCCTGCATATCAGATGGATAGAACTCGAAGCTCGATGCCTGCGGGACCGATGGCGCATCTTTTGCAGCTACCTTCTGTGCTAAGTTGCACGGATATCCGTTTCAATTACCATCTGAGTTTATGTGAAATTAAACGATTACTGAAAGTTGGCCCGAAGAGTAGAAGTTTGACTTAATTCACCGTATGCATTCGGATTTCCCATTCACCCTGTCGACTAGGTTGGGCCTCTCACGACGGAAGAGGCCACCAACATTCTGGACAACATTCTGAAGGACAACAATCGTAAGATCAACAAGGGCCAGCGCGAGGTGGTGAACCGGTACATCGCCGAGTGTCCACTGCCGCTCTACGTGGAGGTCAGTGGATGGTCTCACAGGGGCATGGGTCAGTCACAGGCGCTCAGGAGTGGGTCTCTAGTGAAGAGTTGTCTCAGGTCGGTCAGAACGGGTGCCACTGAGTGGAATAAAAGTAATGCTCGTATACTCTGAGAACTAAGAGTATTATCTCGCTGGTCTTATAGGAGACTTCAGATGCTTAAAAGTTATAGCGCTTATGAGCCGAGCATTATAATCCTTATGTACAGTTGATCTTTCTGTGACAGGAAGTAGCATATTTCCAGGGTTTAGTCCTCTTCATATATTTCGATTATTCAGTTGATTTCGCCAATCCGCGAATATTGACATTGACGACGGTGAGTGTGGCCTCATTACGAGTGGGATGGTTTATATGACGATTGATGGGACTACCTATCCCACAGGCGGTCGGTATGACCACGTGCAACTGGACGGGCGGCGAGGAGCACCTGGCGCTCCGCTCCACCCTGGTGGAGCAGATTCACGTCGTACTGGACGAGCTGGAGCGAGAGGTCGGCGCCGTGCCGGTACGTAGTCCATACACATCATACCACACCACGTATATCTCGGGTAAATGTTATTTCAACGCAATACCTACTGTAATGACGTCCTTGTGTCACCTCGAAATATGACCTCAATGTTTGTGCTTACCGAGAACGTTCATGATTGTATTTATTATTGTTTCTTTCTGACTGTTTTAGAACACTTGGATGCCATAATCTTCTGCTGCTTATACTGCGTCATTTTTCCCAGGTTTCTCGAATTCTCGGCTACTTAACGGCGGCCAGGCAGGGTCTCAGCGACTCTGAGATCATGGACCTCCTCTCTTGTGACGAGGAGGTTCTCAACGAGATTTTCGTCTACAACACGCCACCCGGTGAGAAGTTTGAGTTACTCTACTGGCTCGGACTGCGGTTTTACTTAATGTTTAGCCCATAATGGGCCTCACCTTTGTTCCAATGTTAGTTTTTTCTGTTTTGGCCCGCTGATCAAAGTCCTCAGACTCTAGCTAACACTGATGGATGAATCACGCGCCTCTTTCCGCTTTGGACAGTGCGCCGGTGTCCGTCCATCCTGTGGACGCAGATCTCTTCTCGGCTCTCTCCGTTCCTCATGAAGACCATCGTGTCGGGACTCTGCCTGACCACCTGGAAGGACAACACGTTCTCAAAGGTGGCCCGCGAGCGCTACTTCAAACAGGAGCAGCAGTTCACTCCGTGCATGGCGCTCTTTGATTACTTCACGGTGAGAACTCAACCGGGCCGGCTGAGGATGGGTTTTCCTGAGCAATTCAGCGGTTTTGTGACGGCAGTGGGCGGCACACAGGTCTGGCAGGCAGCGTAAGGGGCACATGAACTGCGGAGACTATTAAACAGCTAATGGGTTTCATCTATATTACCTAATGTTCTAGTTCTAACAGTTGCAGGGCCAATTTTACTGTGTGGCGCAGGTACTTTGGTAACTACATTATCTAGTTGCATTTATAAAATGTATCGGCAGTGGCAAAACTGTCCATTCTACTAATTTACAGCAGCTCAGTTTCAGTAATATTGCGAAATTTCTATTAGCTCAATAGAATGCAGGAGCGCAGGGCTCGAGGTCAATCGATAATGAACTTACTGGCCGCAGAAATCGCTGGTTTATTGCCTAGTAACAGGACAAAGGCGTCGGAAGTGCTGGCATAGATGACGCGTATCGCTGTTCACCGAGAAAGCATTGGATTGGAAGTTAAAGTTCCAATGTCTCAGAGGGTGGTGATTGATGGATGGCTGTTGACTAATTTAGAACTGGGAACCAGATTTCAACCGACTTCTTTGCAGAATAGAAATCGGTCATCGATAGTCGATACTTTTGTTCTGTCACTGTAAACCTGTCGCACTAGCGGACGCCTTTGTCCAACCTGGATCTACCATTTCTTTTCAGGTGACCCGTTTTGTTTTAATCTCCGTGGTTATATCTGCATTATCTCTCTGCTGTCTGTGTGCAGGGCAAGTGGGCGAACGGCCGAAAGAAGCCTGTGCTGTTGCCAAACGGCGAGCAGGCCATGGACGCCGACGGCCAGCCGCTGGAGCTGGAGCGCTTCATCATGGACCAGCCCATCCGATACCGCAGCAGGTATGGGGGATTCCACAGGCATCGGGAACTCAGTCTTTCCATAGTACGGCAGGCATTGCAACTTAATCCTTTATTTAGCTTCTTCGTTTCCGCACCGTATGCTGCGAACCGTGCAAAGTTTTAGCTTCATTCGATTTTTTGGCAAAGATAAATAGAAATTATGCGAGATCCGATCGTCCGGCGATTTAAAACAATCAGAAAGTAGACATTTGCCAGATGCCGCAGAGCTTGCGAAATATACATATTAAAGCATTGATCCAAGCGATGAGTAGGTAAGTTGTTCTTATGCGCATGAATCCCAGAAGGTAACCCGCCCCGCCCCGTTCCGGTTTTGTCCAGATACAACCGGCGCAGGCTGGATGAGCTGCCGTACCAGGTGTTCCAGCTCACCGGAAACATCTTGGACGACTTTGTGCTGAACAACGAATGGGTCTACGACAAGCTCTGCGGCTCGACGGCCTACCAGGTGAGTGCGGAGTGCCGAACACCGGAGGCTGCTGACCAGACGTTTTGAATTTTGAATAGAGGCTTACCTGATTCTTTGTGACCGCCAAGGCTCGCTCTTGCTCGCTAAATGTCACTTGACTGGGCAAATGTATGCCTTACTCGGTCGTTTCATTTTCGGCTTCTTACAAGTATGAAAGCACGCTGTTGATAAAGGTTTCGCCACTTTTGCTCGCGAGCGTGCTAAAGTGCCTCTTTAATTTGCTTTGATAAGAAGGAAGATGAAACCACTCAATTAATAATTCCCGTAAAAAAATGGCCACACGAGATTGTGTGCACCTGTTGTATATGGCACAGTCACTATTAATAAAACCTCCAGTACTCGGATGACTCAAGCCTACCTCAGAGCATCAAAAACACACCACCATCACCCACACACCGACCCGCTCCTTCTCAGGTGCTGGAGGACGTCAGTCTGGCCATGAGTAAGGACCCGGACAACAAGGAGCTGCAGCTGTTCCGCGAGCTGCTAGAGCTCAGCAGCTACGCGCTGGGCTGCGACGGACGCCAGTTTTACACACAGTTCTACGGCCGACTCATGCAGTTTATGAAGGAGGAGGAGAACCAGAAGCAGTACCCGGTGAGCGGCTGTCTCGGTGGCTGCTCCAGGGTGACGGGCTATTAGCAGTCGGCTTGTGATAGAACGGGGAAGGGTGTAGGGCTTAATGACAACTGCATCCGTCTTCTGGGAAAGCTAGTCATCCATGTGATGCAATGCGTTAATGTAAGATAAGAGGATTTTCTCGTTGATTCAAGCAATCTTTTCAAAGACGCCAAACCCTTTCTTGGCCGACAATTACAGGATACGTTTTTCCTTTCTACCTGTAACCCGTATACCACCGGGGTCATATGAGCGACATTCATCCCGTTCCGAACGGGATTCAGTGAGGCTCAAAATATCGCCTCCACCCTGATCCGGCCAGAGCCTGCCTCAGTCGGTATTTTCCACTGTCTCCTGTCGCCGGCCGCGGCTGCAGCCGGTGCGGCGGAGATGGCTCCGTCTGACCGTTTTTCTGCGTCCGTCCGCAGCTGATGAAGGCCATCCATGACAAGGCTTTCAGCGCGCCGGAGCCGTCTCTGATCCCGCTGGGATTCATCCTGCAGGAGCCCGGTCAGGCCGAGCCGCCCGTCAATGACAACGTCTACTTTAACCAGCTGTACCGGTCAGTGGCGCAGTACCGGCCCGGGGGGTCACCGCTGCTGGGTCGATTACATTGTGCTAGCTCGTAGCTGATACTGTACCCACAAGGCTGACATTTCTATGTGTTGTAAAAATTAGATTTATGGCTTGTAAATTTGTGTTATGTTGGGCAGCGTACCAAACGGTACTGGTGCTTGGATGTTCCACTGGATGACTTTCAGTCATTTATATTATTATCTGGCTGTGGCACGTAAATAATTAATAAATTTATTAAGCAAGACTTTCATCGATTGCTTGTAAAGCATGGTCAGTGCTCCCTTCCATTTGCTGTTAGGCAACAACTAAGCACGCACAAACTAAGCGCTCTATGCACTATGCAGCATACCGCTCACTGCTCATTTATCCCTGCCGGCCGCCGGGTACCTTATCAGCACATCTCTACCACACAATCCCGCCTTTTTCTGTGTCTCGACAGGGCGAAGCAGAACCCACACCACGTGATCACGGTGTCTCACACGCGCGGCGAGATAGCCGTCTGGAACATCTACACCATGCAGGCGGTGCGCACTCTCAAGGGCATCCACCAGCCGCAGAGCCTCAAAATGATCGACGAGTACCGATGTCTGGTGCGTATGGCGTGTTCGCTCATGTACTGATTGAAAGGCCAGGAAGGGTGGGCAAGATGGCTTGGAGGTCGGGTTTTTGTCTTGTGAATTGATAACGCTTTGTGTTTGACTTCTGCTAGAATTGACTTCGACGTGTCTTGTCATCTATCGGATCATGCTTAAGCAGACAGTGATATTTACTTCAGCCGCTCACTGCATATTTATTGTTATAGTGTACACTTGCCTTCAGCATCGTTCACGTATCGCAACTGCCGCCTACCTGTATGCCTCATTCTACTAAGAATCCTGATCCCCACTGCGGCTACGACGCGTCGGCCCCGTGTGATCTGGCTTCCGGTTTCATTTTGTTTTTGCATACCGTTTTTCTCTTCTTCCAGGTACTTTCCGGTCGTGAGCTGAAGATCTACAACTTCGACGAGGGCCTGTTCGTGATGAAGCTGAAACAGATAATGAACCAGAAGATGCCCTACTACGGGCTGCACAACCAGGATCACGTGGTGGCCCTCTCCAGGGACAGGATGTACGTCAACATGATGAATCTGCAGAACGGGGACTGTGTCGCCACCTTCAAGGTACGCTTCCGTAAAAAACAACACTTGGAGTGTTTCTCCGAAGATGTCGAATTTGACTCTGCCACTCTCTTCTCCGAAAAGATAATCAGGTTTATTTAATTGCACACCTTTGATACGTATTCGATAAAAGATATATTACATGGATGTATTATGAATGGCGTTTTCCTCTGTCCGTCTCCTCGGCTCATTAGGTCAACTCTTAGGGACATTTAAGTCTATCGGTGCATCTCCTTCTCATGCTCATCAAAGACTGATATCCCTCCTCTTGGCGGCCAGGTGGGCGAGGACCGGTTCCTGAACTCGCTGATCGTCTCCGACGACGGCCGAATCTGCGTCTGCGGCGACGAGACGCAGAAGCCGTTCCCGCTGCTGGTCTGGGACCTGCAGAGCAGGAAGCTGATGTACGACCTGCGCATCCCGCACCACGAGTTTGTGACGCGCCTGGCGGCCATCACCTCAGAGGGACACTACGTCTGCTGCGGCTGCAGGGAGGTGGGTACTGATTTGATTTGTCTGAAGGAGGGCGATGATAGGGTGCTACTCCTGGCCCACTCGCGGATGTGAGTAGCTGGGTGCAAGGCTACGTCTGCTGTAGGGCGGCGAGGGGGAAATGCCCCATATGCTTTTACTGCAACCGGGAGAGGACCCAGCATAAACCGCGACTGTTGTGATGTCACAATGTAACATCGTTTCACGTTTTACCACGATGGCTTACTGTAAGGCTTAGCTCGGAGACTGCGTTTGACAGAATGCTATGACCTTGCTCCATTACAGTGCCTATAGTGACCACTACGCCATACCTAAGCCGAACAACCGATTTGACCTCATCCCTCTCGTCGGTTTCGTCTTCCCCAGGTGGATGAGCCGTCGTCGCCCACCTTCGTCGTAGTGTACGACCTCCAGAGTGGCACCCTGTTCAAAAAGTGCAAGCTGGGCGTCAACGTGGTCTCCATGGCCATCTCGTCGCAAAGCAGCTGCATCGTGGTTGGCCTGGAGGACTGCATGGTGGTCGTAATCGATCTCATCTCAGGTATTCCGACGATACGTGGGGGGCCTCGTTATGTCGGTATTGTGGACAATCTAGTAATGGAGGGCTGTGTGAGGCGTGGGGCGTTATGGTGCTTCGTTATATGTGGTGTCACGCTATGATCTGGTTAGGGACAGGTAATCAAACTAAGTGCGGTTTTTATGTGTATTTGGAGGTGGGTAGTGCTTCGTAGGCGTTGATTCTGTAGTACCTGTCGAAGAAACCCTTCGTTGGCCATGCAAATGTGTCGGCAAAGAGATTGCATGATCCAGTCCTGTGACAGTCATGACGCTGCATCATTGCGCCTTTTTTGCAAACATTGCTTGCAACATTCTTCGAGCTCCAGTGTGACGCATGGATCGTTGACCTCTGACCCCGCGTCGCGCAGGAAATACTCGGTGGAACCTGAAGGGTCACACGGCCCCGCCGGACGCCATCAGGTTCGACAACCGCGGCCACAAGTTTCTGACGTTCGACTCCGAGGGCCGCGACAGGTGGGTCGAAGGCCATGGGTGATCAGGGAGTCCGTGGCCGTGTCCTGCACCCGATAGTCTTACCAATCTCACTAACTCTCCTCCCGAGTCCCGGTATCCGTTCCCCATGCAGACCAAGTCTCGCCATCAGGTCCATCTGACCGTTCACCCCCTCCATTTGTTGCATTGTGGATCTCAAAGCATCCCATAACCCGCCTCCTCGTTGCATGATCATGATGGTCGATGCATGCCAAACTTTACCCCCCCCCCCATCTCCCGGTCGGCAGGTCTGTGCGCGTCTGGGAGCTGATGACCGGCAACTCCCTGGGCGTGTTCACTCCCGACCAGACCATCACCGCCTGCGACCTCTCCGGCGACGGGCGGGCCGTCATATTCGCCCTCAAAGGCCGCAGTCACATCGTGACGCTGGCGCTGTGCCACGGCCAAGGCCTGGAGCTGCCGCAGGTCAAACAGTACGGCAGCGAACAGAACCAGGGCAAGACGTTCGACCTCTCGCAGGCCGGGTAAGTGAACTAGGGAGAGGAGGGGGAGACGCTGGCATTGCCTCGTGAGATAGGAGGCCTGTGTATCAATATTTACAACCTTTTTTAACGCTGTGTTGTAACGCGAAGACGCGGCTCTGAACCCAGACTGTTGAGCTGTCTCATCTCATGCTATCATAACTGAGCAGCCGCCTGATCGTCGTGTCCGTTTAGTCACGCCCCGACCGCTCCGTCCCCAGAACGTGGACCAACAATGACAAGAGTCTGTGGGGCAACTGAGGGCCGGCCGGCCGGTGACCCGCCCACCGTCGGTCGGAGGGGGGACGGCGCGGCCGGTCCGTGCGCCCGGCCGGCCGCCGCCGCCCGCCCGTCGTCAGCGCGCCGGCAGACGCCGATATGCAACGGCGCCGGCCCGCAGTCCGCAGTTCGCAGCGCGCACGGAGCCCGTACCGTCTGTCGCACACAGTGTCGGTGTCACAAGTTTTCTATGTCTCCAGCTGTGCGAGTGACTGGTTGTACTGTTAACGGAACTGAAATAAAAATCACAAAACAACGACGCCGTCAGGTGGACTGGGCTGAATACGGTGGTGGCACTGTGTCTGAAGCCATTGCAACGAGCAGGTTCAGCAAACACGGGTTCTGGTCAGCGCAACTGCTGCTTTATTAGCTGCGGACACAAACTAACCAAGAGCAGGATTGATGACAGGCAAACACGGATATACACAGTTGATGAGGTCCGGCGCGCTACAGCCTTGTACACATCTCAAAACCACGTAAAACGGAACCAATCCGGCTGTCGGAGCCTCGAACGGGTCAACGAAACACGCACCTCCCACGGCCGCCGGCCAGCGCTGTGCTCCGGTCCGCCGGGACCGTACGCGATACGCGCGGTTCCCTCCTCACTTATTCTAGCAATTGATCAGCCACGCTACAACTTTGATACAGTGATCAGTAAGGTCGTTATCGCTTACTTTGTCCTTAAACACATATGGTGATACACACACAAACAGATGTTACAGTTACACTCCCAACCATGTCACAAAGTTCAGCCCCCTTGTATACAACACTACCCATCCACCAAGCGGTTTGCGTTACACAACTGTGGCGTTGCGATTTGTCCATGGTTCGTCGTCACCGCTGAGTCTGTGCCACTGGCCACACGCCACTTCACTCTCACTCTGCACGCCACGCCCGTCAACAAACTATCGGATGTCCTCTCAGACGTCACAGCGCGTTATGAAAGGGCACCTCGGTGGCACCCGTCCCGTCCAGAGCTCTCCGGTCGGCCCGGCGGCCGAGGAGTGGCCTCCGCCGCCGGTCCCGCCGGAGCCAGCCGGTGGCCGTCCGTCACTATCGTCAGAGCCGCCGTCCGGCTGCCGCCGCCTGCCGGTCGACTCCGTCCGCCGGCGCTGCCACGGCCGGAGCGCGCCGCACAGCGCCGGCAGGACGGAGCGTCGGCCCGGCGGCGGCCGGCCGCACGCAGGAGCCCGACGCCGCTCACTCGGCGCCGCCGACCGAGGGTGACGGCTGCTGGCCGGCCACGGCCGCGCGCAGCGCCGACACCTTCTGGCCCTGAGCGGCGCACGAGCGAGCCACAGAGTCGAACAGCTTCTCGATCTCGGGCGCACAGTGCACGAACTCGTGGCTCCAGAAGTCGAACGTCGGGTTCTTGATGAGCTCGATGAAGGTGATGAGCAGGCCCCACGGATGGGGACGGTTGACAATCAGTCGCTCCAGCAGCACCCTGGCCGAGAGCGGGCACGGAGAAACACGGTTAGACGCCATGAAAAGAGCGACACAAGCTAGTGAGTCTCGTTATACCTAGGCGACAGTCTTCTGGGTTGGACAATTCTAACCTCACGATTCAATTATACAACCAAAATAACCAATACTAAAAGAATCAGTGCCGGAACAAAATTAAAATCACCAGGAAGCACATTCTCTCAGACTCAGACTGGAATACCTTGTGGCTGAAGTAAACCCTATGCTGTCGCATCATTCGACAGTCAATTTAGAGGAGGTCCGACAACGAACAACGCCATCGCCTACCCGTCCCATCCCACGCCCTTACAACCCGCCGTGTGCGGCGGAGACAGCGCTACTGACCGTGTGATCTGCTCCTGGATGGCGGGCGTGTTGGCCTCGGCGAACAAGTACAGAATCAGGTGCAGGAAGTAGTTGGTGTGACTGTTGGGGTAGCGCAGCTGGTTGGCGATCGCGTTCAGGAACAGGTAGCGTCCTGCGAGACAGAACAGACAGTAAGTGCATCACAGAATGTTACGCGAAGACGACGTCACTCAAGTTAGCCGGACCGAAGCCTGTAAGCATTTTAAGATTCTCCATACACTTAGTCAACAATAACATATCCTGAAGCTAGGCACAACTACATTATAAACTGAATGTAAAACTTGTAAAACTGATAATGTAGTTGCATTTACCTTAAAGGGAGATAATGACCTTTTTCCACAAAATCTGAGTTAGGACCATTTTCTGACAAAACACAACAAGTTATAATGTAAATTAAAACCATTTTGCTCAATTCGGTACCTTGCCGCAAATATCTCAACTTGAAGTGACGTTAGCGGGGAGCGCTGAAAATGACCGTTGAATAAGTACTTTCATCACTTTTTGGTACTTGCATGTAATTTTGTAAAATGAGCGTATTCCTTACATTTGATCTTCATCACATCTAGTTAGTTAATGGTCGTCTATAGTGCCTTCAAAAGATATTCATGGTTTGGGGGTGGTTTATGTCTAAATTTACGCAACTATTTTTCCTGTTCATCATCTGACGCCATATGCTGCTATTTTAGTAGCAACGACTCAATTTTGAATCGGTCCCGCCGACTGCACAATAAAAGAAGATAGATACAACACTTTTGCAGCATCACTGAAAAACTTATGCAGTACTGTTATCAAAATTCTCATAACACCGTTCGACAAACCTGAAGTCTTTTTGAAATAAATATGCTTGTATTTTTTGCTTCAGGCTCTGACGCCATAATAATGAATTTCGTAGTCGCAATCGCAAGATTTGGCTGCGTTTCTGGCGCATGCCGTTCATTTGTGGCGCAAAATAATACCTACTTGGAAACAAAGAAGAGTAGGCACTATGTACCCCCGAATTAGAATCTAATTAATTCTAAACCGAATTAACTCTAATTCAAATTAGAATCCTTACAACCAAGCAACGACAAGGCGATAACATAAACAAAAACCCAAGCGTCGCTGTTTGAAACAAAAGCGCCATATACTGCGACTTTTTATAGAGAAGGACAACGCATTTCGGTGGGTGTTACAAGTACTGCAAGTACTGCTTCTTTTTTGCAAAAATAAAAACCTTTTTCACATACGAAAATGTGCTAGGAAATTTTCATATTTTATAGAAACTACAGTAGAAATAGTATAGATGTCGAGTAATTTTTATTTAAGAAAAAAGAAAGCTCATTATCTCCCTTTAAGTATTTACCTTAAGTATTTACCTTAAGGTAAATACTTAAGGTAAATACTAGGTAAATACAACTACATTATCAGTTTTACAAGACGCTCACCCTCTGTGTCGGTGTCGACAGCCAGGCTCTGGAAGATGTCCATGTGGCTGCTGTGCGTGATGGTCTGCTTGTTGGGCTGCAGGCCCTTGGCCTGGATGGCGGCGATCGCCTCTGTGCCGACGTACAGCACCAGAGCGTTCATCAGCTGGATGTTGTAGCGACAGCCGGGCTCGGCGCTGGCCTGCAGCGTCGAGCGCAGGTCCGTCACGAACGTGACCGGTGTGCGCGTGTTCAGGTACGTGTCCAACTCCTGGAACAGAAAAAAGTCATCGGTTACATGAGGAGATAGCTGCGCACTCCGTCAGGTTCTGATAGAATATGGTAACGTCTTTGTTAAACACGGTACGAATGCAATGGATAGTGTCGGAGGTACGATATCTCCGAAATAGCATATCATGAAAGAAATTAATCAAATTGCCAAAATAATTTAGGCAATCATCAGAGAACTGAGATCATCAGCGCACCAACCAGGGAAGTAAAATGCCCCTAGGTTTAAATTCAATCATATCATCTCATCTCATCTTCTCATCTTCGTGTGATCGGGTCAAGAGGCACGATGTCCTGTAGGGCCCGTTCTCGCCGATTTCCATAACTCCACTTAGTTCTCATATCACAAACTTTTCTCACGGACACTGCCACCAGAGCGCCCCAGACCCTCCTCCAAGCCACGCCTTCACTCACGTTCTTGAATGATGGCGGCTGGATGAGCGACGCGTAGTTGGTCTGGATCATGGGCGCCTGGCGGATCTCTGGGATCATGTCCACCTGTAGTTTGCCGGCGAACGGATCGGGCGGCGGCAGGTTGCGCGGGAACGCAGACAGAACCAGGTTCCGCATCTGGTGGGTGGGAAAGACACCGGTCAAAGGTGTGACAGCGCTCGAACGGTGCCTGAATATTGACACACGAAGTACAGCCTGGCCAGCCTGGCCAGAATGTCGGTCCACTTCCTCCTTAGAGACCTGCGTCCCATTTGTTATGTGTTGCCTGAGCGCATTTTTACTGGCTATCCTATGCTATGTAGGCAAACCAACAACACATGTAGCATCATTAAACAAGACTCTGTACATCGTTAACAAGGTGAACGAGAAGTGGCGTGATAAGGTCTCACTATTACCGTAGCCTAAAGAGAAGAAGCTCGCCTAAATTGAGCAAAACTATGACCAAGGCTAAATGAATAAATTCATAGGTGAAAGGCTGTGAAACGTAATCTAAAGTTGACAGACCCAGCCGATGTCGCCCTCAGCAGCTCACCTGGATGCAGTTGGGCGGGATGACGTCGCAGAAGTTGTAGTGGTAGTCGCAGAGGAACTCTGGGAAGTCGTGCAGCAGCACGAGCAGGACGCGCAGACAGCCGCGGTACAGAATAGTGATTGGCTTGGCCAGCTCCGCGTTACGCAGGAACGGAGACAGGAAGTTGAACAGGTCGATCAGCAGCTGTGCGTACGGACCCCAGCCCTGCCGAGAAACACGGTGTGCTGTTAGGTAAAAATGGTGCCTGCGCACTGCGCAGGCGGCGGGTCGAAGTTAAAGTGAAGCTGGGAGTTGGTGCACTTGCAATATTGCCGAAAAAATAAGACATCACATCGACTGTCAACGGTGCAGCGACCTGGCCTGCCCAGCTTCGCGCTGCCTGGTGAGCCGCGAGGGCCCGGACACGCCGATCACGTACTGCTGAGGTGCCCGTGCTTGGCCGGCGCGGGGCTCTGTACTCAGGATGGTGAGGCCGTGGCGGCCTTGATCCGCGCTACCTCAGTCACCAAGAGCCCTTGGGCTACGGCCAGCGGTGAGCCGACCCGTGGAGGCAAACATAAACAGCACCGTACCTTGTGCTGCGGCGTGACGGCCAGCATGCGTCCGATGAACACCCGGTGGGAGACAATGTCCAGCCAGGCGTAGGCGAACGCCGGCGCCTTCTCCGGGCGCAGGATGTGCAGCACATTGCAGAACGCCGTCAGAACCTGCAGCAGCGGGGAAGGAAGCTCTTAACACCTTACGTGATAAATCACGCAAAACAGAAGAATATCTCATCAACACCATTTTAGCATAAGCAAGCTCGCCATAGCCTGACTGCGAGGACTCCAAAGTTGTAACACCCCACAGCTCTCTGTCCGCGTTCTGACCTGGAAGTTGATGGCCTCGAGGACGGGGTCAGGCGCGTTCAGCTCCAGCAGCAGCATGATGAAGATCCGGTGGTAGGGCAGCTGCTGGAACTCCGTCTTGCGGATCTCGTGGTCCTGCAGCAGCACGCCGGTGACGATGCCCAGCACCTGACGGATGAACAAACCACGTCAGCTGGTGGTGAGGGTGTCGTACAAAGTGAATGACAATGGACGGAGCAACCAGAAGCGGGCACAGCGAACAGAAGGGTAGCACAGATCGACATACACATTGAAATAATTCAGAATATAACAGCGGTAGCACAGCAGCAGCGAAAAGAACGTGGGTCACCTACTTACCCCAGCTGCAATTAATACCTTTAGCCATCTAACGCACTTTCACAAACATCTCACCGACAATATTCAGTGCCGAGTCACACCGACCCATTATACCGAACCCCTCAACCAGCCCCCGGCACCACCCACTGCCACCGACCTTGTTGAGCAGGTTGATCTTGGAGACGGCGTTGGGCGACTCGCCGCTGTGTTTGACCAGCAGCGCGATCAGGCGCACGAAGGCGTCCAGCGTGCGGAAACACTTGTTGCGCACCATGGTGGGCGTCATGGCTGCCTGGTCGTTGAGCGTCCGGTAGCACATGTCCACACACATCTGAGTGGCGTGACGGAAGAACCGCGTGATCAGGTCGTCCGTCTTCAGGATGCCCTGCATGTTCATCTGAAAGGTGACGACAGGAAGAAGTATGTCATCCGTTGTTCTTTAACTTAGAGAAGAAATGCACACATCACATTGTCTTCTAAAAGCGTAAAATACGACAAGCTTAGGAAGATATGAACATTAGTCATACTCAATGGTGATGAGGAGGAGGGAGATTTGGGGTTTTGCGCACATCGACTCCACGGTAGCACATCGGCGCCCATCTATTCACACTCACGATCATTCCCATTTCCCCGCACTCAGCACCCCCAGACGCCACCCACCTGGTACACGATCTGTGAGAAGGCCTTGGTCGACTCCCGGCCGGAGGAGGGCGCGTGGTACAGCTGTACCCACTCTCTCAGCAGAAACTCGGTCTTCTCCTGCAGGCCCGGCGGGTCGTCAAAGTCACGCGCCTGAGAGATGCCCTTGTGGATGTGCGCCGTCGGGCCGCCCGGGTTTCGGTCGGCAGCGCTGAACGGCGTGTCGTGTCCGCCGCTGGAGCCGGTGCCGGTGCCAGAGCCGCCGCCGCGCACCACCTCCAGCAGGTTGGCGATGTTCTCAGAACTGCCGACAGACGGGAGGGGGGAGGCCGGGTCAGAGAAGGTTGAATGTACTCTGAACTGCGGACGTATGGCGCTCGTAGTCATAGATGGAGTGAGCGTTACGGTCCAAACTCCATAGTGAGGCGGACATACGAATCTACGAGAGTTTGGCGACGAAGTGTTACACCAAATTGTAAGTAATGGGTACCATTAGGTAGGCCATTCAATTTTCTCTAGCATCGCACCGTAGATGCAGTAAAAAGTGTTATACTTTTCAATGTCTATACCAAAGAAACATGCTATGTCATCACCGATGACGCGACATATTTCTGCTTTATTGGGGTTGGCGATGTAGTCTGTGATGCCATCGCAATGAAAATAGCCTAGTTTTGTAGAGCATCAAATTCTGATTCCATAACGACTCTCGCTAGTCCATTTTCAATTATAAATTAGCCTTTTATTGCGCTGCAAAGTCAAAAAGAAGCCCGAAATGGTGCCGACGGCGGCCGTTAACACAGTCCCCTATGGTAAACAGGTTAGTTCACATTCCGGCCGCTATGCGAGCGGCGGCGGCGCCACCTGTCCTCATGTCCGCCTTGGACCGTAACGGAGGGAGAAAAGGAGGGAGACGAAGCGAGGGAGGAGAGTCGACTCACCCCTGCTGCTGGGCCACCTTAGTCATAGCCTCGATGGTGTTGGCCAAATCGTTCTCGGTAACGATAGAATCGCGCGCGTCGATGAAGAAGACCTGAGGACAGACGAAAATGCCGAGTCAGCGAGACCTGACGACAGCTAGAGATCACAATCAGCACTTCATATTGCTTGACGGTCTGATCTATTATCAAGAGTTGGAACGAGAACTGCCTCTGCAGGCTACAGCCAGTTAATAAACATCCCCAATTCGGCTTAGCTCTCCTGGCTTTAGTTGTAGATATGCCACCATCTATTTTCTCCGTTCACCCTTCGAACCAGAGATCGGAGCGTCATGGTCCTCGTCCACCCGCGGCTGATAGCGACTGAATATTCTCACCTGCAGCAGCTGCATGGCGAGGAAGACGCTGCTGTAGTTGGCCGCCTCCACGGCCAGCGCCAGCTGGGAGTCCAGCTGCGGCAGCGAGATGAGCCGGGCGCGCACCAGCGCCTCCAGCGTGTCGCCGTTCAGACGCACGTCCCCGCGCCACTCGGCCACAGAACTGAACGGCGGTGGAGAGAAGGGATACGGGGTCAGCGGCGGATATACCGCGGATAAGGGCTCACTCAGTGGAGTGTAGTGTGACGACTGCAACATCAGCAGCTGCCTCCATCCAAGCCAATCACTCGTAATAAAAACTGAACATGACATCAAATACCTAATAGTTAACACAAACACCCCAGCACCAGATCAGAGCCGTAGTAGTTCGCCAACTTCTCGCTCAAACCTGACACGATCGCACGTCCCCCACCGCTACCACATCCCGGGGCTCACCTGGTGACGTATTTCTGGACCCACTGCGGCCCGTAGCAGCGCGGCTCCTGCAGAGCGCGCAGCACCAGCTGATGGCTGTCGCGCAGGCGCAGCGCCACCGGCTCGGCCTCGGGAGAAACCTGTGGAGACTGCTCCAGCAGGCCGTCCACCGCCTGAGGAAAGTAGACGGGAGGGTGGAGTCAGAGGCGGTCTCATTTAGCGAGGCATGGCTCTGTACTGTACAATGATAATTATAGATCGATGCTAGAGACAGGCGATTGTTAAAAGTGTGGTGAAACGTTTCCGAAAAGCAGCTTTAAACGATAAACCTATGCGTAACAAACTTGCATTGTCGTGCTTATGAAAACTTACCAAGATAGTAAATACCTCACGTAACACTCCTTAACTCAGCCACCCGGACGTGACTCGTCCCCCACTACCCCTGGCAGCCCGCTCACCAGTTTGACCAGTCGGATATGTGCGGCCACGTCCCGCGATCCGCGTGCGATGTTGACCTCCTCTGCCAGTCGGCTGAGCTGCTGGGCGGGCGCACTGGCGGCCGCCGCCGGGTGCAGCTGCTGCAGCAGGGCCTGCAGCTCCAGCGACACCTTCTCCAACAGCTGCGACAGCTCGTCACCGGGCGCCGAGAGCGGCGGCGGCGGCTGCGTGGCGCGCAGCGGCAGCGGCGGGGGAGGCTGCACGAGAGAGGAGAGAGCCGAGGTCAGAGGAGGGAGCAGTGGCGGTCACAACATTAAAATGCTGAGTATCCTGCATGAACTGAACTGATCATGAACTGATGAACTGAACAATGTTTGAACGTTTGATGGGCATTACATAACTTACCTACCACTTAGGGCAAAATATTACAATATTACAATATTACAAGCAAAACATAACACAGTATTAATTTAAAGAAACCAAAATGTCTCAAGTTAACTAGTCGACCCGGGCCACGGGAGCTGCTCATCAAAACACGTCTGGTAACATCAACTTGCCGGACGCCCTTCAAATCCCACCTTCTCATACCCAGCCTCGTCAGTGTCGAGTCATCTCTGACCTGTGCGGAGCGTGGAGGCATCTGCATCAGCTGCGGCTGGGGCGGCACGGGCGCCTCGGACGGCGCGAAGCCGGGCACGGCGCGTGTGAACTCCTCGTAGACGCTCATCTGCTGGCCGGAGAGGGGCTGCAGCCGGATCGGCTCGGGCATGCGCGCCTCCTGGTAGCTGGCCACCGAGGGGTCGCAGTAGCGGCGGCCCTCGGCGCGCGCCATCTTACGCAGCTCAAACTCCTGCGAGTAAAGCACAGACAGTGAATAAAACAAATGATAAGATCATGAACCAAACGACAAAATATATCCACTTCTGGTTGCGCCTACCCTGGCACTATGAATCATAGAAATCCCGCGAAAATCATCCCTAATACGAGCAGGATTCATCAGAAGATTCCTGTTATACCTACAATGATTGGACTCCCTCAAGCACACAGCCAGCTTGATATGTATATCATTCACCCTCCAACCTTTGTGTGGCCTCTAGCCGCACAGACAGCATACATTACAGGTTCCACGCGACCACCCGCCGACCTCAGCACCACGACTTACCGCCGCCAGTCGCTTGTCGATCTCGAGGATGGACTTTTCGATGGCCGTCTTCTGGATGAAGCAGCAGGCGAGCTCCACGTTATCGGCCGCCACCATGTTGGCCGTCTGCTCGATAAACTCCTTCTGCTGCGGGGTGGCCGACTGGGGGACGGAGGGTAGCGGAAGGGTCAGTGAATGTCGTCCGGTAAGTGAGGGGATATCACACACCAGTATCCCGGCTAGGACGTGGTATGGTCGGACCGGGGCAATAGAATACACACAGCTCATTACTGGAAGATAACTGCCGAATTACGGGTCTAACTATGGGCTTACGCTGCCAAACAAATTTTCTGCAACCCCCACCCTTCACTGATGTTAGTTGTCGGACTTTCGTCCCCGTCTTGAGTTGAGATGTTTTAACATCTCAACTCAAGACGGGGACGAAAGTCCGACAACTAACATCAGTGATACCCCACCCTTCACAGCCTAAGCAGTCTTCCAGCCCACTGACCCGCACGATGGACAGCATGGAGGCCCGGATGTTGCTGTTGATGGACCCCCCCGCGGCTGCCGCCCCACTGACCCGCACGATGGACAGCATGGAGGCCCGGATGTTGCTGTTGGTAGACACTCCCCCCGCGGCTGCCGCCCCACTGACCCGCACGATGGACAGCATGGAGGCCCGGATGTTGCTGTTGGTAGACACTCCCCCCGCGGCTGCCGCGCTACTGACCCGCACGATGGACAGCATGGAGGCCCTGATGTTGCTGCTGATGGACAGCGTCAGGTGGTCCCGGCAGTTGATGAGCGTCAGGCCCGCTGTCAGGCTCATCACCAGCTGGTGGGCCGCCGTGCGCATCTTCAGGTCGTCACCGTCCATAGAGAAATCCTTCTTGACCAGCTGTTCGGCTGTGCTCACAGCCAGCTGACGGGTAGACAGATCGTGTGGGTTTATTAGTGGGGTCGGGGACAAACGACGGAACCATTTACATGTAACATAATGTGCCGTTGTCAAGATGACACCCAACGCAATCACTTCCCTCTGCAACGTCCTACCATTTGAAAAAGGAGGCGATTCACATCCAAGCGCGACTCTAGCGGTCTGTTCGCCCGTCGAGGTTACCTTGCAGTTTCTCTCGACGGCTCTGGGCAGCCAGTCCTGGACGGTGCGCTCCACAGCCTCAGCTTGTTTTCGACCCCACACCTCACACTCACCTTGCAGTTTCTCTCGACAGCTCTGGGCAGCCAGTCCTGGACGGTGCGCTCCACGGCCGGCAGCACAATCTGCCTCATCGCCGGGTGCGTCTGGAACAGCGGCAGCTGAAACAAGAGCGCCGGTCACAGGTCAGAGCAGTCACTTCGGAGGAGGCCAGAGATTATTCCAGTAGAATGACTCGATCACAAAACCACAAAAGGTGCATCACGTGTTACACTGATCTCAGCAAATGTAAAAAAAAAACGACGGTAAAATCAAGCAAAAGGGCATCTGAAGACGCGATGCAGAACAAAATAATTCAAAACGCTCCCTCTTTCCCATGGCAGCGTCCGTAAGTCAGGCCCATGCCCCCGACCGTCCCAGTCCCCTCCAAATGCGTACCGCGGGGTTGATGGTGATGTGCGCCGCCAGGCCCGCGATGCTGCTCGTGTTGATGTCCCCGACAGTGAAGCGCGGCGCGGCGGCCGTCGGCGGCAGCTCGGGACCGCCCGATGTGGTCGTGTCCTCCCCGCTCCCACCGGCGGCCGACAGCTGCGGCGGCGGCGCGGCCGGCGGCGGCACCGAGGGCGCAGTCGGCGGCGGCGCGGTGGGCGGCGGCAGCGCCGGTACGGGCGTCGGCGCCGGCACCGGCCGCTTCAGCTGGATGGGCAGCCGCTGCAGCCGCTGCGGGTCGTGCAGCCAGTCGGTCGGCTTCAGCTCCTGCGGGTGGGGGCGGAGGAGTCAGAGTCCGTCAGTGGATGCGGGGAGTCACCAGCAAAGTCGGCGAATACGCAGATTCGAGCATCGGGCGACAAACATGGACGGAGAGTTTCTCTGCTGAAAATGACGTTGAGTTTTCAAAATGCTTGGGCTTTGAAATGCAGAGGTCAACCGTGATCCTCAGAGTTTCATTATGAATCGACTGCAACAACAGTTGTTGAGATCATTAACCAAAAACGAAGCCTGAATTTCCCTATCACCCAACTCACGTTGACGTCGAGCGAAAGCGTCTTGCAGAGTACCTCCACCTCGAACTTGAGGTTGAGCTTGAGGTCGCGCTCCTGGTGCAGCTCCGCCAGTAGGTTCATGATGCCCATCGTCCACGGGTTGGGCGGCTTGAAGATCTGAGCACGGAACCAGAAGGGTACGATCAGACATGGATAATGGATAACAAGAAAGTCGGCCGAGGGTCTACTACACAAAACAGACGTCTAACTGGAGATATACTCGTATAGGGTAAGTTGAACAATAACCGCAAGTAGCCATGAACAATAGAACATCCTATCTCGACTCCTTCCGAAGACTCGCACTACTCTGTGGGGTTATTCTCACCCTGCAATATTTTGGATGTGGCTAACGTCCCTCTCACCTTGGACTTGGCGCACGACTCGAGAACCTTGGCGACGAACGGGACGATGTAGAGCAGCTCGTGCATTCCCAGGTGGTAGGCCTCGACGACCAGAGCCTTCAGGTCCAGGTCCACCTGTGGACGCACAGAGACGGTCAGACGAAGAAATAAAGCGGAATAGAGAAAAACACAAGCGATATCAGACCAGTACAATCGCCACTGTAAAAAGATCGTCCGTAGGACGACTAGAAATAGAAAGTGCATGAAAATGTCAACACTATGTGGTATAGGATTGCCATGAAACCCTAGCTTTCACACACAGACTTTACGTCGGAACTGACCTGAAGGATGGGCTTGCTCTTGGCGATGGTCATGAGTCCCAGCCAGTGACCCAGGTTCTTCAAGATCGTGCGGTCGCTGAACTTCTCCACGCCCTTGTCGGCACGCAGCAGTACCTGCCGGGAAAATGGATAATTGTGAGGCTCAGATATAACATCACGTGATCACAAACATAGTATTCGTCATGAATTGAGAGGTGAACCGATGTCTAATGTCATGATGGTGATGGATTGGGGTTTTTGGGCGCCCGGACATGTCTAATGTCAGTTTGCGCCGATGTATCATGCACATCGCACAATACAGGGTGGACCAAAAAGGATGGAAACATTTTGAACTCGCATAAAACATGCATTATTGCATGCATGTGACTGAAAATGGTACCAAACGAGGGTACATTTCGTGGAAATTCATAACGGCATCACTCTCATCTGCTTTCTCTCGTTTTCAGTCTCTCACAGGAAATGTTCGAAGAGACCACCTTCGCGAGACAGGCACAGAGCGGCCGGTCTGGTGGCTGACGCGATAGCCCGACCACACATGTTCGCTGGTATGGCTCACACAGTCTTGGTGATCGCTCTCTTCAGGTCACAGAGACCTTCCTTGTAGACCTGGCCCTTGAGATAAGATGATAAAGAAGTCACTGTACAGCAGCAAGGTCACCGAAATGGTGTGCCCTCAGCGGAAAAGGAATCGTGGGTCCACTTTGGTTCGAGGAAGGGAGCGGCGACACCGTGACCGTCAATCAACAGCGCATACCAGGCGGCGCTGAGGAAGTTCTGAGTGCGAGTCCAAACGAAGCATGGCAGCCTCATTATAGACCTTATGTGGTTCCAGCAAGACGGTACGACTCCTCACATCGCAAAAACAACGCCCAAGACGCCCAAGTGCATCGAAAACAACTTCGGTGACCGGCTGATATCCCGCGGTGCCAGTCGGAACTGGCCTACCTGCTCATCCGACCTGACTCCTATGGATGTTTTACTGTGGGGTCATCTCAAGGGCCAGGTCTACAAGGAAGGTCCAGAAAGCCTCTGAACTGAAGAGAGCGATCAGCAAGGCTGTGTGAGCCATACAAGCGGGCTATGCGTGTCAGCAGCCAGGCTGGTCGCTCTGTGCCTGTCTCGCGAAGGTGGTCACTTCGAACATCTGCTGTGAGAGACTGAAAACGAGAGAAAGCGTATGAGAGTGATGCCATTATGAATTTCCACGAAATGTACTCTTGTTTGGTATCATTCCCAGTCACATGCATGCAATGATACATGTTTTATACGAGTTTAAAATGTTTCCATCCTTTTTGGTCCACCCTGTATAAGTAAGTTAAAAAGATGACCAATCATCTATAGCTACCATCCCGTCAACCCTACTCCAAAAACAGCCGAGCCCGCACAAACATTCCAGCTGATCTTCCTCTAGCACCGAACACCCCTTCCGAACGCCAGCTCCCATCGCCCGCCGCCCTCACTGACCTGGATGTTCCTATGCACCTCCCTGACGACCGTATCGATCAGTTCGGCACGCTTGGTGGCGTCCACAAAGTTGGCGTAGAGCGTGTGGAAGTTGGGCTCGATGCTGAGCCGGCGAACTACCACGTACTGAGAGAACCACGGCCAGTGCTCCTTGGTGATGATGTCCAGGAGCTCCTCACACTGAAAAACGGGGGAGGGGGGGGGGGGGGTGAGCGTTTGATGGCGATGAAGACAGCGCAGAGAATGCTACGACGTGAAATAAATAAGCTTCGTGAAGGTCAATAGTGCTCAGTTTAATCGTCAAACATTGTTATGCCGTCACGTTAAAGTGACGCCATCCCTCAGGCCACACTGAAGAAGCCCATCAGCCTCGGTAGCGTCACATCACCCACCTTCTGCTGCAGGTTGAGCTGGCTGAGGTTGTTGAAGATGAAGCCGACCTTGTCCTGGACGGCCTCCACTGGTATGGGCACGTCGGGCAGCGCGCTCAGCAGCGTCTCGATGTTGGTCGTGTTGGCGATCGAGGGTCTCCCGGAGACGAGCGGCGCCGCGCTGCTGGCCACTGAGGACGGCCGCGGTGCCGGAGTGGACGAGGCGGGCGGCGTGGGCGCCGCACTGCCGCTGCTGCCCGAGCCGGAGACCAGCGCCTGCAGGTGCGGCGGCAGCACCGGACCCTCGGGACGGTTCAGCGGCTCCTGGGAGCGCATCCCGCAGTCGATGTACTGCAGAGAGAATGGAGGAACGATATTCGTCAGACGAGTAAATTACGGGAGTAAAACACAAACTGGGATGTCGAGGATTATAAACGCAGCATCAAAAAAGATAACACAGGCCCATCTAGGAATGAGATACAACAGCTACAGCTTAAGTACTAAAGCAATGATAACATAGTTCGTTTTCAGCGAAATGTTGAATAATCCCCCCCCCCCCCCCTGATGTAAGGTCTCCCACAAGGCGTCATAAAGCCTCACAGTACCAGTGAACTATCCCGGATTCCCGACCGGACCTCCTGCAGCTCTCTGGCACCTAGAAGCAGCCCAGTTCACCCACAACTTCATCAGTCTGCTCGCTTCCCTTCGGCCTTGACCCATTCTCCTCTCACATCTTATGCTCCCTCACCAAGTCCTGCAGACCTCCCACGTCCACCACCGTCCCTCGCCACTCACGTCCACCAGGTGCCTGGGAAACTGTCCGAAGTGCTCCACCGTGGCCAGGTGCTGGCAGTACTGCGGGTACTCGCGCAGACGGTGCTTGAATCGGTCCAGCGCCACGATGCCGAAGTTGTACATGTTTGAGCCGGGCTTCTTTTTGACGGCGTCTAGCACGTAGCGCAGTGCCAGACCCAGGCCCATGTAGCTGGAACGAAACGGCGGCGTGAGTGATGGGTGTGCGTGGGGCTAGTGGGAGAAAGCCGGTCGGGACTGCAAGAGTCTGAACTCCTGCACACTTATCCGACGCAGCATGACAGATGACAGTAAATGTGATGATAGGTCATGTAAACATCGCATGATTGAGACCAAGTGGATGGGGCAATAGAAAACTGACACTCTGCCATTCACTGATAAAAATAACATCATTGAATGTCGGTGACGTTTCATGGGGCAAAGTTTTAGTACGAAGACCTTTCCACGATTACACCGGTCTAGTACAATGACATCCGTTTTGGGGTTACAGACTGACCCCACTTTACCGAAGTACACATTCACCGGCCGTCGATACACCGATGTACGAGTATCGCCGAACGATTTCAGGCCTAATCACCCGAGTATCATCAATACCAAACCCTTCTCATCAACCGCACCGGCTGCACGCTATGCACGGATCGACCGCCGCCGCCCATGACTCGGGCTATGAGGGGACCGCTGACTTGCAGGGCGCAGGGCGCAAACATGATCCACCCCGGCTGCTACGTCAACACGCAGCGTGTGGCTGATACCGTAAGCCTGGATCGTGTCAGAACACGTCTGAGCACACACCACGCTATGACACCACAGTGACTCAGAGGGGCTCGACATTGTGAGAGGGTGTAGATGGTAAAACAAGCTTCGGCCGGAAAGGTCCGAGACTCTGTTTGAATGAATAGCTCCACTTGGCACTATAATTTTACCCCGACAGAAATTGCGCGCATAAATTAGTCACCAAATGAAGGAGCGAAATACGAACAAGGAAATATCGATGCTGTGCGCAAACCTCATAAATCTTATCTTTTCATTGATTTGACCACGCCATGAGAATAAAAATCGAAGACGGATAGTCACACGAGAATAACACGCCTGTAAACGCATCTCGCCTAGCCGCCTGCACTACATCACACTGACCCCGCCACGTAACTCCCATCCACTCACTTTGTGACCAGATTGTGCTCGATGATGCCGCCGAACAGCTGGGCTGTGATGTACAACTCTTTGTCCGGGTACTGCGGGAAAAACTTGTACTCGTCCATCAGACTCCGCAGCATGCAGGCAAACACCTCCTGCGAACGAACACGGCTCGTCGTTAGCGCTGGTGTGATACACACTACGTAAACGCTGCAAATGAACACAGTGTGTCATCAGAAATGCAGCATATAACAGGCAGACGCTGCGAATGAACACGGTGCGTCATTGCCCCGTCGGCGTCAGCAAACAACTGACATGGCGGTGTGTCGTTCGTTGGTATCACGTGGTCATCTCATCCATGACGTGGTATCGCGGTGTTTGGAAACAGCTGGCGCCGCGTAGCGGTACCTCCAGGTGGGGAGACGGGGGAGGGACAAGGGGGGGGGGGGGTTCGGCGCTTCCGGTCGACCTTGGGTCCACAGATCCCTGTCATTAACGGAAACCGTGGCAGGGAAAGGTGTGTCATGTGTGCCAGCCACGTGGGCACTGGGGCAGCCCGCAGCGCCCCTCCCCCCACCTCCCCAGATAGCGGGACAGACCACGTGTTCCGAATAATCGGGAGGGGGAGGGGTAAACACGTGGTGACAGGGATAACGGCTCATCCCGGTGGGATCGATCTTTAACCCGAGACCACCCGCTACGATAGGGCATGAGAGGGTTAGTTATCCTACCTGAGAGGGTCGCCGCTCCGAGTCCGACCCGACCCCCGGCACCGCAGTCCCACGCCGACTGACCGACCGGCCCGTCCCCGCCCCACCCCACCCCTCCCAGACGGCCGGCCACGCTACACCGGAACCGGTGCACCGTGGGGACTTTAGCGATCCTAGCACGATATAAGTGACAAATATGAGTATTTTGATTTCCACTTTCTTTATATCCTTTCTACGCAGAATTGTCCAGTGTATCCGAATCCGACCTTAAATCGCTTTAAAAATGATGACTTAAACATCAAAATATGTCACAAAGTGAAGGGTTGCGCTGACTAGCACCGTGCTCCTAGGATAAGGCGAAAAATTACATGACAACGAAACGCCTGCTCAATCGTTTCATCAAGCACCAATTCTATGTTGCGACATGTTTTTATAATCTGTATTCAATGAGGAATATGAGCATATGCATGAAAAGTTCGAAAAATAATCTAAAGGTATGATTTTTGAATGAAATACGAAAAATGTTATTATGCCACTTGTCTCGGAGATTTGACTCGGCAAATCATAGCCTTACAAAGTTTGATACGCGGTGGTAAGTGTGGAAACACATATCAAAATATTCTCCCATAAATTCTGCATTGGAATCAACTCTTATCTTTTGCCCAATTTTGCCCAAACAGCTACTACGAGACATCAAAGCAGAAGATGTCGCGCGGCTCTCAGCGCTCCGCCGCGCTGCCCGGCGCCGCGGCGGTCAGCTGACTGCGGTCGCAGGAGTAATGTCGTGCTAGGAGGGGCAAGGTCCCCACAGTGCGGTGGCGAGCGGACAGCGCCGGTCCACTGGGACACAGCTCGATATGCAGGGGCGGCAGTGTGATCGTTGGGAAGGCTGTGACAAACGCGCTGACGGTACCAAGGGGAGCCGGGTGACTCATTTTTCAGTGTGCAGTTTGTGACTGTTTGGAGGCAGGTAAGCACATGACTGGACGATACCTACCCAAAGGGAAAGGCACGTCATGATAGCCTCCTTTCGGAAACAAAGCGATACAAATAATGATATGCGTTTGTTTTAGCAATTCGGCTTCCAAATACCGCCATTCAGTTGACTGTAATTTATAAATATTTCCGATTTAATTTCTCCCCGCAAGCTCCCCACAGTTATGACGAAGTTAAGTTGCAGAAAGCTGTTGCGATGATATTCGCCGCGACACAACCATAGCCGTCAGAGTTTCGCCATTCAGTTTGCGGTGCTCCTCGACAACGCTGCCGCTAGCGTATGGTGCGACATGACGCTTAACATTTTTGTTGCACTAATATTAACAGTGATCGACCTTTACAGCAAATATTTGAATAAACTTATGCATTATACCTCCGCTCAGGCTGGCCGCGACAGTTCCAAAACAGTTGTCGCCATAGCAACCGTCACATTTTTACGACTGCGTAGTACACCACAGTAGAGGTGGCAAAAGATGAAAATTTTGGGAACCAGACTCGAACCATACCCGGCTGGACAATTCTGGAACCAGTCGGACCCGGTCTTAGTTGGAATCGGAACCAGTTGGACCCGTTCCCCAAAAGTCAATTAATACAAACTACTTGTAGGTATCATTAGTTGCATCATGTAAAACAGCCTATTTCCCACTGGGAATACTCATGAGATACTGTGTGCAAAGAAACATTCACTTCATATTTTGCGAAAATGTGTAGTGTGCAAGATGTATAGTTAATGGTAGGACCCGGTTGGACCCGTCACAGAAAAGTTCCAGGAACCGGTCTGGACTCATATGGGTCCAGACTGGTTCTTTGGACCGGGTCCTCGGGTCCACATTTTGCCACCTCTACCCCACAGCGACAATAACTTCGTTCGCTAATGCATTGAAGCAGGGAATACCTCTCCAGTTTAGCATGTCAATGCAAGGTATCGAAGAAAACGTGACTGTTTATCACGGTGTCTGTTATCAGACCCAGGTTATCAGACCCAGCTGGAATCAAGCCACGCAGACCCAGCTGGAATAAAATGATGTGCCACTGGCACATGGCAATCAGAATTGACCCGCTGTGTTTACAGTGGGTAGAATATACAAACTGAGGTTTGCGGATAAGACATATTTTGCGTTTGTTTTTCCGAGTTACAACATAGTTTCCATCCGTCAACACCAAACGAGTCGGAAAGGCGGTATGTATCGGAGGAAAACCTCGAACAATGCCGGTGTTACGCGTCGTGGTCATTTTATCCGCTAGCATTGACGTGCATTGCAAACAATCACGAGGAAAATAATGTCAAGCTAATGGTCAATATTGCTTAGCCAGGAAAGCGACTCCGCTGAAAGTTCACTAGGTACACAATCAAACAGAAAGTCATGCTACGGTGCGAATCAAAATTCATAATCGCTTCGGAGGTTACGCATTGTCCTAAGAAGTAGGCTCCTTCTCTAGATAAGACCCTAGTCTGACCACCCCTTTCCCCTACCCTCGCCCGCCATTTCACCCCCTGACCACTCACCCGTTCATGTTGCACGTTGCTGTCTTGGAATCGTTTGAGCATGTCGAGCACCTCCTCGATGGAGAGCGTCGGATGGGGCGGGTGGTTGTAGATGCGCTGGAAGTTGCTGTTGGCTTCCTCCTCCACCTCCTTGGATAGGGCCCCTGCTGACTCGTTGGGGAACGGAGACACGTCGGCTGCAGGACGGAGGTGAGACAGAACACAGGGCGGTTACGAGCGGGCAACGATCGGGATGCAGCTGTAAAAGAGGATGGAGCGCTGCGAGGGACTGCAAGTGATGGCAGGAATAACGCTGGATAAACCGCATCAAAGCATTATGTTATGGTGGATGGCACATTTATTGGACAGAGATCAGGTACCTATAGGAGATAGGAAATTCGTTATGTAAGAGAACATGGGAGAAAGCGTCATACGAGATCTCACAGATAAGCCAAGAAATGCATCAGAGCTTCATGGACAGGAAACAGGGAGAAAGTGACCAGTGAACTAAAGGCCATATGGATGGCACAGCACCAGCCCGCCGCGGCGCCACACCCACACTCGGCCCGTCTAGCCGCCGGTCTGCCGGCCGGCCACTGGTGTTTCCCACCGCACACAGCCAGCTGGTGTGGACAGCACACAGGTGGCGCTATCCCACCCTGTCCGGGACACAACACCGGCCGAGCCACAGACCGATACCGGGCAGAGATAACGTTACTGACGCGGACGGCCGCAGACGGAGCGACTCCCCGGCATAAACAGCTGGTGATGGGTTACGGCGTTAAATTGTAACAGCAAATCGCGCAATCAACCTAAGGATAGTAAGCCGCCAAATTACTACAAATCACACCAATGCAACGAGGTCTAAATTCTCGCAATCACGAAAATCTCGAACGGCATCGTGTGATGTTAAAATTAAGTAACAGTTAAAAATTAAACTTGGAACAATTTCCTGTCTGGTCGATATTTACTAGTTTTCAAACGTATGACTCTGTGCGTATCAACCCCTCCCCGAACCGAGCCACCACGTATCTCAGACGCCCTCCCCGTCCCCCGTCTCCTTCTCGTCCGCCCACTGACCGTGAGACACGGTCCTCGATGCGCCGTGTAGCGCGGCAGCTGCGTGTTGGGCGGTGCTCGGGCCGGCCCCTGCTCCTCCGCCGCCCGGTCCGAACAGGCCAGAGATGGCCGGCGGGGTCAGCGAGGCCAGCAGAGACGCCTGGGCGGCACTGCGCGCACCTCCCACGGCCGCCGCCGAGCCGGCTGCGGAGCCTGGAGGGACAGAGACGACGGGGCATTGTCAGCACGCTGAACTGTCGATGTAGAAGATAGGTAATAAACCCATTAGCACGGTAAAAAATGTGAGCATCAAATGTGTTCAACTACTTAACATACGAGAAAATAAATTTTATTGTTAGGGCTCACCAACTCGGACTTTGAATATCTCATGAGTCGAAAATCCATTGTTACGAAACAATGATATTTGAGAACTGTGATGACAGGAATTCCGGTTTCAGACCAGGGGCCATCTGCAACGTCTACAATGCGAGAGAAACGTAGATCAATTAAGAGTTGCGTGTGATTCCAGTCTTACCTTGCAGCGAGAAGGGCGAGCTGAGTCCGAGTCCGGCGCTGGGCGTGGAGGCGCCCGGGGTGCTGGCCGCCGGTCCGCCCAGCCCCAGGCCGGAGATGGTGGCCGTCAGACCGCCCACCAGCGAGTCGCCGCCGGCAGACGACGGGAACAGCTGCGGCGGGGCGACAGAGGGGCAGAGGTTAAGTCAAAATCACGCAGACATAATGTCATCAGAAGGCTGCCGCAGTCTCAAACGGAGAGCTGTAAAAGGCTAAAACGGTTCACTGCGCTTCGTCTGACCGCCGTGTATATTCAGAGCTGCATCTGAAAATAATGAACAGAATAGCAGTCACCACAGTTTTCGCGGCTTCCTCTCCCTCAAGTCTGCCGCCCTGTTCGCGGCGCCCACTAACCTGACTGCCGAGCGGCCCGGCGCCGAACGGGCTCGGGTCGGGCGGACGGGGCGGCCCGGCCGGCGGCGGACGCGCCACGCCCGGCGGCGGCGGCCGCTGTCTGCCCAGCTGCAGCAGCTGGCTGGCGTTACCCATCATCGTCAGGATGGCCTCGCTGAGCTCGTGGCCCACGCCGGCAGAGTTGACGCGCGCGTGCAGCACGCTGAGTACGGTGGTGACCAGGTCAGCCGGCAGCGGCGCCTTGGGGGGCAGCTCCAGCTCCGACGGCGGGCCGCCAGACAGCTGCGGCACGCGGCGCTGCAGGACGGGGGAGGGAGATGTCAGCTGCCGATACTACGGAGTTCGGGACTATAATAGACGTGCCAGTGGAGACACTTTTAAATCATAATAACCTCACAGCATATCAAGTGAATTGGCGATCAGTACCAAAATCATCATCCTACAACAACAACAATTTAGACAATTCTAATCATTTCAACCAAGTGTTACAATAATAATCCGGAAAGCATCCAACATCGAGTCAACCCAGTCACATCGAGTTGGTTCCTACCTGCAGGAACTTGACAGTGGCAGCGATGAACGGCTCTCCGTGCTCGTGTATTTTGTCCGAGAGCCACTTGTCCAGTTTGAGGTACTCGCGGCGCGAGGCCAGACAGGCGAGATCGATCACAAATGGCAGTGCCTGGTAGCTGAGTAGCAGCGACAGCGCCTGGCAGAGAGGGAGGCGGCGCCGTTAGTGTTTATGAATCAACCGTCCATGAGGATGATAAAGTCGTGGTGCGTCGCTGTTAACCAACTTCAATTGTCTATAACGTCTGGAATAGCACCTTAAACGAGTTATATGAGCGTTGTACGTCACCAATTAATTTGGAAAGCTAGTCAGTGCAAAGTACCGAATACATTCCCCCTTCAACCCGTTTCCCTACACACCTTGAGGTCCTGGGCCACGTCGAGTATGCGCGAGAGGCGCCCCTGGTCGTTCTCGGCCTGGCGGTACCACTCTGCCATCGTATGCATCAGCATGGTGCGCACTCCGCTGGTGTTTGTGGCCGTGTGCCAGGCCTGGTGCAGCACCGCCGCGCTGTTCGGGTGGTGGCCGTCTGCCGGGGCAGGGGACATCGTCAGATATGAAATACGGCAAACACGTGATACCACCCGGCGCGGCAGGGGCATGTGACTCTGTGGCAGACGATTGAGCTGGTTACGCACTTCTCAATAACGGATTATATGGGACTTGCAACTTAATTATCGAGAACGATAATAAGACATCGTTTATGCGGAAGAAAACGCTAAGTACCCACAGAAGACCTGCCCGATACTTTGCATCTTGAAACCCAACACAAAGTTCCCATCACCGCGGGTGCCATCAAATTCCAGCCGGCCGACCGTCAACTCACTGAGGAACACGACGAAGAGGCTGGAGAGCAGCTCCTGCGCCAGGTGGGAGCTGCTGCCGGCCGCCAGCAGGTTCAGTGCCAGGATGTCGGGTCCGTGCTGCAGCGGGTACTTGAGCAGCTCCTGCACAAAGCAGGTGTGCCCGCTCTCGGCCAGGTGGAGCAGCAGCTGCATCAGCTCCGTGCAACGCCTGCGGCAGAGGACAGGGGCGGGTTACAGCTGAGGACGGAATGGTAAGGGCAAAAAGTGACCACCCCACCTTCTTCTTAAAACACCTTCATAAGAAGACGTGGTTATCAACTGGTCAGTGAGATAAAAGCGACAATGCAAAATGACGTCCTCCATGCGGTCCTCCAGCGTTAACGCACCATGTGTTGAGCTCCTTGTTGTCCTTTTCGGGCGGCACCTTGAGCTGCGACACGTCCACCATGTAGCACTGGTAGTCGGCCAGACAGAACACGTCCGGGTTCTTCAGGATCTGGTCAATGTACGACAGCTGCCGGACAAAGGCGAGCAAAGTTAGAGATGAGAGCGCCAAGAAGTGAGTACATGAGCGAGCGAGACCAATGATTATTGCTAAATTAGTGAAGGTAAAGTTACAATCTCCAAAGTATGCCTAGCCGCTATTCACTTTCACTTTCACGTTTCAAGTAGACAAGATGATTTATTATCGGGCACTTCCACTCATCGGGCTATCGGGCGCACGAAATTTCCACTCAACACGTCAAAGCCGTAACCTTTCGACTTTCGAGCGTCATCCTCTCTCCTCTCCTTCTCTGCTCTCTATGCCTTGGGCGAATAGTGACTCCACCGTTAGCGGGCCCTAAGACACAAATAAACAAACAAAGTAACAAACATCGACCGCTCTCACCTGGCTGTCGGCGTTCTTCCAGACCCGGTAGAGCACCTGGACGGGGAACGAGTCGGCGCCGACCCCCTGCAGCTGGAGGCCCAGCTGGAGCGCCTGTGTGATCAGACGCAGCGCCGTGCGGTCCTTCACCTGGAAGCCCGGGTGGTCCAGGTGGTACACCACCTCCTTCCACTGCAGCGCAGGAGTCTGACGAGAGAAAACGAGGTTAACGTGGGTGTGGGGGTGAGGGGGATCTCTACTCGTATCTACACAAATTTCCACCCACATTCCATTCAAGTGCACGAAACACCGATGTGGGAAATATCCTCGAAAATTGCATCCCTTTTCTGCAAGAGCAAAAAACGGTTACGGTTTTCCGTCACACTCGGTACCCTTGTCCGTCCCACGTCTCCCTTTGTTTTTGTTTTCGGGTTTCATGGTCGGTGGCCGGAGGGTCGCACGGCCGTCCAGACCTTGTTTACGTCTGTCCCGACTCCCGTGCCAGCCGGGTCCATATGGTGGGACCCGGCTATCAGCTGGCGACCCCACTTATCGAGCCAACAGTCGGCCACGGACAGGCAACGAGCCTTATCCAGCACTGATGAACCCCACAAAGAAGACAGAGTTTCGCGAGTTGCCAGAAACGTGATATGAGACCAATGAACGTTTTCAAGTTTTTTTTTTCTGACTACGAACGAATTTCGTTCAGAAAAAAAAGTTTATTGATAATGCTATATGTTATGAAGATCGGTGATGGGATACATACCAGACACAAATAACTAAATAAACAAATACAGTCAACATACATGGGCTGACGGAAACCCCGTTCCCACTCACCAGTTCATGGACGGCCTGGACGAACACCTCGACGTTCCAGGTCTGCGGGCCGTCGGTAGTCTTGTCGGACGCCCAGATGGAGGCCGGCGACTGCAGGCTCTGGATGGGAATCTGCTCCTGCAGACCCGTGTACGTCTTGGCCATGGCGCCCAGGCAGCGGGCCACGGCCGGAGCTGTCAGCTCCGAGGCGCCGTGGTTGACCAGGTGGCGGCGGCATTCCTCCACAGAGGAGCACAGCACGTAGCCCACCTCGAGCACAAAGTCGGCCAGCGAGCTGTCCATCAGGTTGGCGGCCATGGCGGCCGGCGTGGCGGCGGCGATCTTGGCCACCGGGATGTCGGCGCAGTCGGGATAGATGAGCGGCGCGAGCACAGCGGGCACCACGCCGCGAGGCAGGTCCTTACGCACCGCCTCTACCAGAGCCTCCTGAGAGTCGGCAGCCTGTCGACGAGAGCAGCACGAACACACGCTGATACGGGCGGCCGCGATCGGCGGGGCTGGTCATCGGTGATCAGGGGGACTCACAAACCTTATCTGTGTTCACCGCCAACGTGCATCGCAACGGGGTTCAAAATCAGGAACCGGAATTCATGAACGGAAAAGGACGCCAAGTGACTGATAGAGCTATCACAAACAACTACACACTGATAAGCAAAAGTTAAACATTAGATCTGCACTCGGATCAGCTCTACATGAATCAATAAGGCGATAGCGATCGCCATATGCATTAGGAATCACACCTCCCTAAGCCAAAAGCCGCCATCCCGGTGGATATGGGACATCCCCGGTGGGCGCGGCTCCTCACCTTGTCGAGCTGCTCAGGCGGCGCGTACAGCAGCCAAGAGACCAGTCGGTGCAGCAGCTCCGGGGACGACTCGTGTAGACCGCCCTCCTCAGCTACTCCCGAACAGTCGGCCGACTCGACGTAGTTCCTGACCAGCTCCGGCAGCCGCTGCTGGACAAACTGCTCCGCCTGCTTGACCGTCTCCGGGTCACGCGAGTGCAGGAGCGCGATGGCGAACGCTACCTCCTCGGCCTTTTTGAGTTTGAGCGTGCGCGGTAGGTCGTGTAGCAGCCGAGCCGTCTGTCCGCCGCGCCGGAACGTCCGGTGGTCGACGGCGTAGCAGAGCGTGTGTACGAAGTTGGGCCGAGTGGCGAGGCTGGCGCACAGCTGCTGGAGGAGCTGCAGCTGCGGGTTGTCCTTGTTGGTGGGGCCGCCGCTGCGGCCTCCGGCCTCCCAGTCGACGTGTGTGAACAGGCAGCGCAGCAGGTGGATCTGGGCGTCCGAGCCGTGAGCCTCCACCAGCTGAGGACACGCGGCATGGTGTGCCAAAAACGGTGTATTTCTGCTACACGCGACTATACACAGACACAGCAGTACTGGTTGGTTTTCGTGAAATTGGGTGGGAGGTCATGTATCAATAAACTATATTGTGAAGTTGGGAATAGCGAAGATCATGTCTAAACGAACGATTTTGTTAAGTCGGGAAAAGCTTAACGGTTTCGGCGACAGAGCTGATCATGTATCGATATAGTTATGACGATTTATCTCGTTTTAAGAGTTATGACAACAACCTAAAACTACCTATTTAAAGCCAATGACTAGGAAAAGAAACATTTTCAAAGGCATGTATGCCATCTTTCAGTATCCTTTCACCACAACATTCCAAACAATCGTGAAGTCAGGGGCGGAGGTACCAATGGCGAGCCTTGGAAAGGGAGGGTTAAATTTGATCTAGTGATCAATTGAATGACCACAGCAAATAGCAATGATCCATTTTCATAGCATACATAGTTACAGCATGAAGCATCAGCAAAATCGCTTTCAGAAAAGTGAACCTCTAAATTTCAAAACCATCAATCATGGATTTGTCACCAGCAATAGTTGGAAACCATATCTAACTTCCTTGATGTATCTATTTCCATGCTGATTTTTTCCCCAATGATCTAAAATTTGGATCTGTAGAGCATATTAGTTACAGACAATCATAATATTTCAGATCTATTCATTTTAGCTGAGATTTGCAAGGCTGAGATTGACATAAGTCAGGTAAGTTAAGCTGACATAAGATCATTTTTCAGTGAAGAATATCCTGCTCTGATGTGCATCTCATTTTTCTTAATAGGTGGTAGAAGTAATCAATTTCATTGACAGAAATGAAAAGCTTCTAGGTTGTCTAACAACCAACACCTCAGTTTGATAAACATTTAACAGCTCTTAGCAGACACAGTACAAAGTTCTAATCTTATAGAAAACAAATAAAATTAATCAATCTTTAAGTGTTTGTAGCAATGAAAATAGTGTATTTAGCAAGGAGTTCAACTGTACATCAAGATGCACATTTTTCTTCTCTTTCTCCTTTTTTCAAGAAGCTACCTACCTTACAAGGGAACATTTAGAAGGGAAACTTGATGAATTCAATAAAAAGTATCAACTTCCAATTATTTTGCAAGAGACATCTAGAATGATTCATTGATACCTATTATGATTGGATTGGATTGTATATGGATGATTGAATTGACAAATTATCATCAATAGGTATATCTATAAGGTATGGTGGATAAAGAATAGACATGTGAAGAAAATATTTCAGTATCGACCTGTACTGTTTTATATTAGGGATTTGGATTTATTCCTTCAAATTCTGCTTGAGTGGCAAAAGTAGCACAAATCTTTCCAAGCCTGATAGCAGTCAAAATATTACTCATTATAAGGCACAAAAGAAGGGAGCTGTGACCAATTACATAAAAGGCTTGTCAGAATAAAATAGTTTCCATTGTCCCAGTCTTTAAATGGTTAAGTCAACACATTCTGTTATTGAAGAAGGATATGATATAACAAAAATGACTTCAGTGAACATCATTCAAACAAAATCTTGCAAAAGTTCTTATGTTCTTATAAAAACATGAGTTCTTAAAAAAAAAACATAAGTGAGACACATAAGTGTCAAGGCTGTTATTGATGAAAATAGTTGCACTGTTAGGTAATTTGCCTATGTAAAAATACTTAAGTAGGTATAGCCCAACCATCCACCACCTTGATTTCTTCACATCCTTACTTATAGACTTATTATGTATTAAGGTTGAGACAATGACAAGCATCACATTTATTCAAAGCATATCTGAAACAGGTGTGAAAGGGATGAAAAGGCTTGACATGTAAAATACAGTTTTTGTACAAGGTTAAGCAAAGCCTGGATTAAGACTACCTTTTCTTGTCATAGTGACAGTGTATAACATGCCAGCTACCAAGATAAAACAGTGGAGGCAATGAGCCATACCAGATGGAGAAAAACATACACCATCCAGGCTGAAAATGTGCATCACCACACCAAAGAAAAGACAAGTAAAAACCTTCTCTGAGACTCAACATTGATAAAATATAGATCACTTTTTTTTCCCCAACTTGTTCATATATTTTCACAATCACACGATATTTGCACACTTACACCTTATTGTTTCACTTTCCATTTGCGTTTAATACACCTATGCCTTCCTGCCCCGCCCCGCATCGCCCCGCGATTGACACACATGCCCGTCCTCGCTGGGGCGATGCCCCAGGCCGCCGGCCGGGCCCGCGACCCGTCACCCTGATAGGTTGGCGAGCCGCGCGCCCGGCCGGCCGGCCGACCCTTAATAGTGCCGGCCTCCGGTTAGCCGGGTTGGGTTAGGGGCGGGCAGTGCGCATATGCTGCTTATTTTATCAGCAACAGCTCACTCAACTCACATGCATAGCACAAGATACAAGATACACATGATGCGCGAGGAGCATACTAAGCAATGCATACTACAAAAGGATGCACTGTGCGATCGTCTGTGCCGATTGAAACGCATCGTAATCCTTATTTACCGATTCATCACCATGCTATGTATGTCCCTGCACAAGAATATGTTTTGCCACTTTCAATAAAGGCTTTAAGGGTGTCACTGACAAATGCTGCATGTTTTTCTACCCTCACTTGATGAACAACCGTGGCTCGAGCCCCTTCGTAGGATGGTTTTATCTGATTGTGCCGTAGCTTACAATTAGCGATGTATTGTTTGATAAGCAAGATTATAAGATTTACTGCATTACGGCCCTCTTCTATTCCAAAAAGCACATGTTTTACGTTATTGTGTTCAGACATACCTAGACCCTCAAAAACTTTATCCCAGATATGGTGAACAGTGAAACATTCGTAAAAGAAGTGCTCCAAATCATCTTGCGAGCCACATTCTTGACATAAAGGGCTGTCGATCAATTGTCTAATGCATAAATATCTTCTCGTCGGAATGTATCTGTTCAATACTCTATATTGGAAAGACTGCAACTGAGTCGATTTGGTACATTGATACGGAATTTTGAACAACTTTTCCCAATCCATACTGTCATATCCTCTTTCCTCCCACCTTTTAACTGCCTTTGGCTTTTTACAAGGCATTCCGTATCTGTATAAATGACGGGGGCGTACTTCGGTTATGCGTATTTCGCGATCGTTCACACGAATGATGGGATCTTCGTTTCTTTCTTCAGGGGACAAGGTTCTGACCGCTGTATTTGTAAGGATCGTTTTCCAGTGATTTGGAATTGCTCGCAGTATCGTTTCATATGTTAGGAAGTCTAATCGCAGAGAAGGCAGTTTTTCTTTTAAATTTTGCAGGCTCATAAAGGAGCCATTTTCTCTTGTTATGTCACCAACAAACTTAATTCCGTGCCTGTATAAGCATGGAATAAATATTGTCTTTCTGTGCACTTGAATATTTCGGTTGTACCATATCATTTCCATCTGTATCGACTTGACGCTTTCTACCTCCTTGCATTTGTAGTCCTGATATAGGATTAAAACATCTTTATAAAAATGTGGGATGTTCATTCTTTTAATGTCTCTTATGCTTAAATTGCTTCTGATTAAATCACGAACGCTCATATCACCAATCCTTGCCTGCAATATCACACACCAAGCTGATGACTGATTTGTGTACATACGTCCATGCACTTCTTAGCGATATCATAAACGCCTCTATGTCTATTTGTCTTAGCCCTCCATGTTCGATCTCTTGAACCAGTGTATCTTTGGCTACTTTTGGTGGCCTACCTCGCCACACAAATTTCATGATTTTACTTTGTATTCTACACATCATTCTTCTTGGAACTTTCGTAAAAGCACTGAGGTAGACTAATTGCGAGGCAAGTAATGTTCTGGCAATTGTTATTCTGCCTTTAATGGTGATAGTTCTTTGGCTCCAGATATTAATTGTTTTTTCAATCTTTTCTGTAACGGGCTCAGTATTTTTTCTTAAACAATTCTCTGACGCGCTAAACCACGCTCCCAAGATTTTTATTTCGCGAGCTGCTTGTATCCTTCCTATTGGATCTCTCCTTTCCTTTTCCTTACCTAGCCACATTGCGTGACATTTGTCAGAATTAAGCTGTAGCCCTGAAGCTTTGCCAAAATTTTCTATAGTCTGCAACGCTTGTACGCTAGACTGCTTATCATTTAGAAGCAGTGTTATGTCGTCGGCGTAAAGACTTATCTTTACTTCTATCCCACTTGTAGTAATCCCTCGTATATTCGGGTTTCTTCTTATGTTAATGGCCAATATTTCAACCGCCAGGACGAACAGAATCCCACTCAAGGGAGATCCTTGAAACGTCCCACGTTTACAATCGATCCATCGGGATATGTGACCGTTGTTCATTATTGTTAACGAAGCATTACAATAAAGAAGGCGTACCCACTCTCAAATTATCCCCAAAGTTAAATGCTTTAAGAGCTTCCATGATGAACTCGTGTTCTATGGAATCGAAGGCAGATTGGAAATCGCAAGCAATAATTAGACCCTCACGTTTGTCCATTTGGCAGTATTCTATCACATCGGACACCAGTCGCAAGTTTTCACCGATGTATCGTTTTTTCACAAAGCCAGTTTGTTCTGGTGATATCAATCTCTCTACGACAAGCCCCAACCGGTTAGCTATCACTTTAGCTACCAATTTATACACTACGTCCAGAAGACATATTGGTCTTTTATTTTTTAGTTCGGACTGCTCTCCCTTTTTTGGAATCAAAGTTACGATGCCTCTACGCTGGTTGATGAAAAATCCATGTTGAAATGCATCATTGATATAATTAACAACCAGAGCGCCTATTTCTTCCCAGAAGTGAAATATAGATCACTTTACCCAATTAGGTAATTACCTACTCCACAGTCTTAGCAACTGGAATTCAGATTACAATAAAAGATGACACATGCTGATTTCCATAAGATGGAAAGCATAAAAAATTGATTTTTATATCTTTTTAGCCTGACTCACCTGCTGTATCTCCTGACTTGAGACTTTGAAATTCTTCTTTGTCAAATTTGCGACAATATTACTGATCTGAATCAGTGCATAAGAAGAAGAATCCAGGTTCATAGTACCATTAAGGCGTCAAAAAAGGAAACTTCTACTGAGGAAGTCTCCTTAAACACTTCCTTACTTAACACAACATGAAACCACGGCGGGATGCGTAGCATACGAGCCAGATGTCCCAATGAAAGCTCGAACCTACAGCAAACACCACACATAACGCCAGTTTTCAGGTCATGTTGGCTATTAGATAGGTAAAACGTCTTCAATCACCGATTTTGATATGATGAAAAGCTCCCAAGAATTCCTCTCATCGAAGAATCCTCCAGCACAGCAGGCGAAAAAATGGCGTCGACGCTCGAAAGTCAACAGAATCGCTCGGCAACGGAAATGAAAGGAAATATTTGCGGCTTTCATGACGCGCACAATTAAGGTTAGCTATTTGCTCTTGGTAAGTTCTCATTTACTTTTCCGATAAATATGACGTAACTCATAATTGTTGCACTTGATTGCTTAAAAAATGGATTGATAAATAGTGTTTATATATTCATCCATAACGATTAATTATTGTCGGGTTATGCATGAAAGCAATTATCTTTACGGAGTAATTTTAAATCGATCTTATAATTAACGTCACTGAATTTTACTCAAGGATGAATGTTCAATCACCCTCTCTTCTTGCTGTCATTTGCGACGAAAGCGCTACTCTTCCGGATGTGAATATAAGTAATTATTCCATATTATTTTAAAATATATTTGTATAAGTATTTACGTCTATCCTGCAGTAAGTTTTCAGTAAGTTTTGTGCACGACTGAGCTATGGTGTTGATTCATACACAAAAAGTATTTGTCTGAACTATCATTTCTTTTTTCTATTGTTTTTTATTGATGAAATATCATTATTTAGTTAAATAATTGTATCATACAACCAAGGCTAGAAATATGGACCAGTGTGCACCAAACAAAGCTCACAAATTTTACTGTAATTAAGCACCATGCCATGCTGGGCGCACTCTGCTCCAAATCAGTTCGGCAGTCGGCACCTCTTCGCAGTGAATAAGTATTCTTCAACTTCCGCATCATGCTGTGCACCGGTGGAATGCCCTTGCGCTTATAACGTCTTGTTGAAATTTCCTTGCTTTGCAGTCTGGATGACTTTCAAGCTTTGCCTTGAACGTTGAGAGTGATTCGGCTATCACAACTTCAAGTGAACATTGACCATGAAATGAACATTCCATGAACCAATTTTGCAGATTCAGTGGTGGCCATGGAGCGTATCAACCTGGAGTCGCCACGATGGGACCAGACCACGTACATGGGCCGTGCCCGCCACTTTATCAGCATCACCAATCCACTGAACGTGTTCGCCACCTCAGCTGAACTGGATGCCGCCAAGGACATTATCAGCCGCTACAGGTGGGTGACACCGTCAGACTCAGATGTGATGAGATGCTCTGAATGCTGGATTTTTAGGGATGGTTAGTCTTAAGAGGTGGCATGACTTATAATTCTGTTATGCCGTACAGTGATCAGTACAATGACGGTAAATGCTTTATTCGTTGAGTGTTATGGGCATATCCGATGGGCTGACTCCACTCTTCCTGTCCCGATCAGAGCTGGCGAGCCGCTGAAGCTGTCTGAGGACGAGCTGTGGCGGGCCAAGACGCTCTACGACTCGGCCTTCCACCCGGACACGGGCGAGAAGATGCTCCTCATCGGCCGCATGTCGGCCCAGGTGCCGTGCAACATGACCATCACCGGCTGCATGATGACCTTCTACAAGTGAGCTGGCGGCCGTGCATGCTAAGGGGCCTGACTGTGGTGAGAAGATTGGAGAGTTGACGGTATCCATCCACAGATGTTTTGTTGAAATAATTATGAAGGCTAGGTAGCAGTAGAATGCAGTTCCGTAAAAAAAGTACGGCTACTACGTTTATGCTTTTCTTTTGTAAAAATTGATTATTCAAGTCATTCAAGATAAACTTTTTGAATGGACAGTGCAATGTGCATCTCAATCGACGAAAAAAACGTAACGTTACTGTTATCTACTCGATGAAACCTCAGAAGCTGACTGGAATAACACACAAAGCGCTGCACCAATGTCACGCTCGGTTAGAAGTTCATCAAAGTGCCTCGAAAGTTCGCTAAAGCAGGATGCATGCTGGTGATCCAGAAATGATGCTTTTTTTGTGTGTAGTACCTACATCGCTTTGCGGACTTTGATTTATGTGATATTCAGTGAGCAATGAGCATTATAGTTCGGAACGATAGTACGGGATAATCCAAATAGATACGTACTTACCAAACATATTTCGCCGGAGGAAGTGTATTAGACGAAGGTCTTGCTATTTTTATGTTGCAATGAATTCTCCCCCCACCGCAGAATGAGAATCAGTCATCAGAAAGTATTCACGATGATTGAATCTGATTCAGAGTGTGACCCATGTTGGATATTATGTTTAGGCTTTCAATTGACAACCGAAAGTGTTGCCATCCATAGACATATTTCTCTGATTCACTCATTCTTAGCAATGGCATGATAAACTTTAATAATTCGTTCGACATTGTAATAATGTTGACGTTGTATCAGCATTCAGCCATCAGGTTAGTTTTCTAATTCGAATCATACCAACAGCTCTCGAGATAGTGATAGAGGGGTTCTATCTTTCCTACGCGCGTAATTCCAGCTTGCTGCACCGAAGCGTATTATGTTAGCCGAGCTGGGGAGTGAGAACCGGCGCGGGCGGGCCGGCCGCTGTGCCGCGCTGAAGTCACCGGAACCAGCTGTATTTGGATGTCGGATCGTTGGTCGGGCATCTACCCACGCGGTGTGACTGCGTGGGCCCCGTACGGCAGTCTGTGCAGTCGTCAGCCCCGCCGCCGTGTGGCCAGTGCCGCGTGAAACAGGCTGGCGGTCTCGCTGTGTGGGCTCCGTACAGCCGCCTCTGCGGCGAACGGTACCGTCGTATGACCGGTTCTGCGTGAAACAGGCGCCCAGATGACCCTTAACTGGTGCGCTGTAAACCTCTGTGGCCCGTCTCAGACGGATAGAATCACATTACCGCCGAAACGCCGGTAAATGAGAGCAGATTCGTCTGGCCCTCTTCTGTAACGGATGGTTTTTGTAAGATTTGTTTGTTTAACGGCTTTCGTGATAAAACGATCGCGTGACCGTGTTGGTGTGCACCAAGTGTGCACGAGCTGCTCATTGTACACCGCTCCGCTCCCTCCCGGAAAACAGATCCCGCCGCTTCGGTTGGCACGAGTCGCGGCCGACCATGACTACCGCTTGAGGTACTACATATAATTGCAGGTTCAACCTAATCAATATGCCATGGGCTCGGCAAGCTGGCACCGTGCCATCAGTCGTCGTTCCGTGTCGGCAATTACACGCTTGCCGGTGATGAGAGTTACGCTGACCCTCTTGCAGGACGACGCCGGCCGTCGTGTTCTGGCAGTGGGTCAACCAGTCGTTCAACGCCCTGGTCAACTACACCAACCGCAGCGGCGACTCTCCCATCTCGCCCAAGTGAGTGACCTCGCGTGACCTCGGGGACGCGCGACCTATTTGGGGTGACATGTATGCAAGTGTGGGTAGAAGGGGCAAAGATATAGTTTAGGCACAGCTGTCAGATTCGCTGTATTCTGTTACGTAGTTGTCGCAGCGACAGTTGGAAAATCTTCGTTTTTTACAATCGAGACGTGCCTGACATACTTTGCAGTTCTATTGCTTGACACTCCTGTCAATTTCCGGCAATGAATGACATCCCACTAGAGCCTTCAACATGCCTGCATGACCAGGGGCCGATTCGAGATGGCGCACTAGGAAGCTAGTAGGACTAGGCGGCCAAGTGACACTTGAATGTAGTGACACTAAGCGGTATTTTACACCAATCGGCTAGTGGCTCAGCGCGAACCGAAATCGCATAGTGACGCTTGAAATATACCCTGCTTGAAATCAAGTGTCACTAGGGCCTTAGTGCGCCAACGCGAATCGGTCCCAGGTTTATAGGCGGTTATGGTCAGTTTAACCCGCGCACCGACTTCTGCGCCAACTTCGCACCGACGGGGGGGGGCGGATGACCGCCCCCCCCTGAGATCTCGAGAACGAAGCAAGATAGCGACAAGCGGTAAACGGCATCGGATACGCACGGCCAAGATCTACAATTTTTACTAAGGTCATTTTCAGGTCAGGTCAAAGATGACGTCACAGGGGTCGAAAAAGTCAAAATGGCGGCGCTAGATACGGAGAGAGTTTTTCTCGAATAACTTTCGAATTAGTCAAGATAGGAACAAACTAAGGGCATCGTCGTGATCCTCTCGTCAATCCGCATCGAATGATATATATGTTGACCTCGAAAGGTCAAGGTCAAAGGTTGACCTCAGGTCACGTGACCTCGAGGTCATCATGTATATCATTCGATGCGTCTTGACGAGCTGAACACAATGAGACCATCCACGCGTCTGTATCTTGTTCCTGTACGGAGTTATTGGCCAAAAACCTTTGGTGACCTTTGATGACGTCACATGACCTCACAGCTGCCCAACAGCAAAACAGACCTCAAGGTAGTGAAGGTTGATCGTATATGAAGTCATGTATGGTATATGGGGCCATTCCGACCCGTTTTAGTGGCAAAAACAGGGAGTTGATTTTTCCCCCATTGACTTATAATGGGGAGGTCGCGAAATTGACCTGACCTTAGGTCACCGATATCAAAATTCCAAGATATACAAATTGTAGCTACTAATGACCTAATAATATCCTGCGACTTTCAAAGGCCTCCGACATCTACTGTAGCTCTGGCACGGTGACAAAGTTGCAAAAAAGTGACTTGAGGTTGGGTCATTCAAAGTGACCTGGTGACCTGACCTTAAAAGGTAGGAGGTTCAAACTTGCACACCATGTGTAAAATTGATGAGGTTATAGTCATACCAAATTTCGCGGCGCTACGCGCCGCGGTTTTCCCGCTATTCGCGAAAAACCTCAGGGGGGGCGGATATCCGCCCCCCCCCCCCGTCGGTGCGCGGGTTAAGACTGTTTCGTGTCTGCTGGTATAGCTTGCGGTTTTATTGTTTGACGCCCATCCGTTTTCTCATAAATGATTTGCTGGCGTCCCACTTCAGGCTTGTATGCACGAATGGTTTTATCTTGTTTCTCTACTGCATTGATCGGCACTTGGTTCTAAACTTTGTGTTTGCATCATAAGCATCAATCGTTAGACTAAATAGCTGTTTACGCGTATACCGTACCTGATTCTCGTACCGAACCATATTCGATCAACCACCGCTGCCAATCGTGCCTAACCTTCCGATGATCCGCCGCCAACCGCGCGGGCCGGTTGATCGCCCAGCGCCCGGGGCCATCTATTACCTCCATTACACGACGAACGAAGTAGTGAGCGGCGGCGTGTTACGGCTCGATGGTAATGGGCAGTGCTGCGCCGGGATTGGGCGTCACGCCGATAAGGGCAGCGGTGTATGGCTGCACAGTGCATAACTGCATAGTGCGCACGGACTGGTATGTCGAGTCGATAATACTGCCACGTTACGTCACTGCTGCGTACATGAATGTGCGAACAGAACGGAAAATGGGACTTTTTCAATGTCACGAATTGGTAGTTTAAATAGTGGTAACACTCGCCTCCACAAAGGTATAATCCGTTTCCCAATTTTTTTTTTTTTTTTGCGAATATCTAAACCTTCCATGCAATCCATGGATACGCCTATGACCATTCACCGGTCACGCCTTATATCTATCGCCAACTGCGGTATATCTATCACACCGGCAATGATGTACCACTTATGCCTGACACACTACGTTGCTTCACAGGCAGCTGGGTACATCCTATGTGCTGGCCACGGGAGGAGCGCTCACCACGGCACTCGGTCTCAACAGCCTGGTTAAGGTGCGCTCCGGGAGTGTGGGGAGGGAGCGGCTATTCTGATTTGTTGCAATGGGTTATTGTTTTGTGTAGTGTGCATGGGTTTGGGCATGGCTGATTGAAACTATCAGCTCCGCAATTTTTTACTGTTATTGCAAGTGGACGTGATGGTGGAGGGTTGTGGAAAAGAATATACTGTCACCGGAGAAATTAAGTACGAATAATGCAACGAGCACTTTCTATGCATCATAAAACACTAAGTTGCTATTGATGTAGCTTCCCAATCCCCAGCATGTACTGTAATATGCACCAAGCGTTTTCCATCGCCGCTCTGGCGATTCTGTCCAGCTTTGGCTGCTGATGTATCTTCAAGTGCCGCCGACCCGCCTGTAACCTCCCCTCGTGTCCCCTCCGCAGACGGCGCCGCCGCTGGTCGGCAAACTGGTGCCGTTCGCTGCTGTAGCGGCCGCCAACTGCGTCAACATACCCATGATGAGGTCCAAGTAAGTCACGCGCCGCGGCTCCACGAGGCACCCGGCGTCGGCAGGGTCGAGTCCTGCTCTGTTTGTCGTTTGCCCTGTCGTTTTATGTGGTTGCTATGTGGTTTGCAGTGCTATTATTGTTATGCCTAAAATTGTGCATTCGGCGTCTATAAAACAGTGAAGAGGGTTTTGATTGGACGCCTTCTGATATACATGCATCAGCGTGGGTGCTAGAGTAAAAAAAAAAGATATTTCCATAATATTCGTGTTTTATCTTTAATTGCGATATTTTTATACCATGCTCGCTTATATTTTGCAAAATTTTACGCGAGTGCTTTTTAATGCTTCTGATGCGTAGATGCGGTTTAATATCTGCTCATCATTTTCCAAAGTCAATAAGCCGTTGCTACAGAGCAATCTACGAGCGAGATCGTTAAGAAAGAATGCATTTAAGGATAGCTTTGTGGCCCCGCAATTTCGAACAATGGTCTTCTTTGTCCAGCTTGGGGCTGATTAGCTGATGCTCCTATCAGATGCTGTTGAGTTTTGAAGTATCATTCATTCAGCTAAGAAAACGCTTTTCTCGTCATCATGGCTCTTTATGTGAAAGTGGCATCTGCGGATGATCGAGGTAACATCCGGTTTAGAGCCGGCCCGAAATCTTCATTGTTGGAGCTGTGGATTATAGAGTCCCTTCGCCACTAGCGTTATGATCGGAGTATATTTGGCGAACGTTTTACTTTTATCTTACCGTTTGGATGTGTAGCGGCTATGTAAGTATTTATTTATTTTCCTAAGTGTGGTGATGAAAGGAATTAGATCGGTCAAATGAAGTTAGAACGAACGAACTTATCTACCATGATGATAAGAAACAATAACTACAACCCACATTCTTCTAATTGAATCAGTCGTCAGCAGTCGAGTTTGAAAGGTTCATCGAAATCCCCAGCATGCTGCTCGCCTGATCACTATTTCCGAAATCAATGTGGCATTCAAGCCGCGAATTCGTGTAAAATGTGCCCCAAACTTTGGCCTTAATCCGCTGGATATGACCGTCACGATATCGCGAAGACCATTCCACTACCTGTTTCCTGGACCGAGAGGCCGGAAAAAGATTGAACGCCTCCTACCGCCATCACACCAAAGTCATCCAGCGAGAATGTAGATTATTGGTGAGATCATTTAAACAATTGAAATCGTACCTTAATTAGCTCTCGATACGGTTTATATGCCTAGATTGCCCACATAAATAAGAGATCGTCATCTTAACAATGATAGTATGCAAGATACCTTCATCCATGATGCCCGATATTGGCAGTAAATGATGCTAAGAGGCTTGTCCGTACGATGGGTACGATTTTTACCATTACGCTGTGTCCGTTTGAATCATTATCTCCGCGGCTGCGCTTAATTTCCCGTCCACCAATTTGTCTCTTTATTCATAAGACAGCAGGCGGGTTCGTCCGCACGGCCCGGCCGGCGGGTTTTTCAGTGTCACCGTGAGTGGGCCCATCCCGGCGCCCCGTGCAGTCACGAGTGCGGTAGCGGTGCCCCATCCGCCGCTCTTGGGGCTGATTCGTGGCCATTACCCGCCGCGGTAGACACCATTGGCCCGAGTGGCACATCCGTTAGTGCCGCCAGCGCGCCATTATCGCATCGGCGGCGGCCAAGGCGGCGCTCAGACAAATCTGGCGCGCGTGCTGATCGCTCGAGTTGGTACTCTACATGACATGGCGCAAACTGCTCAGACGAATATTTATAGGAGCTGAAGTGCGGAAGGTGATTGATGTTGGGATTTTTTTTTGTGATAGCTACGCAGCTTGAAGCAGTTATAGATATAGATATACAGGAGTGAAGTTTTATACATGAACTGAAATGCATACTTTTTGAGACATTTAACTAGACATATGCTGGAATCGATTTGATTTTATCAGGGAAAGATTGTCTTCCCGCCTTCCCCACCGCTATGGGGTGGGCAGAAGCAATTATCAGCTTTTTTCATGCATTTTTTATGTTCTTCCAATGCCTGCATAGTACACGTGCCGTTTCCCCTTTTGTAGCATAACTACGCCGCGGGTTTATTGTTAGGCGCATATACGGCACGCTTCCCAATATAACTACTCGACCTTCACCACTTCGCCTATCAGTGACACCATGCCGCAGCGGGGCAGTTCCAGTACGGGATGTCAGACTGAGTCACTTTGACTCACATGTTCTCGGGGATTCTTGGGTAACTTCTGTTGTCGACTATCTAACCAAACCTTTGTGCCCTTTCGTTGTATGTTGCGTCATGGATGATCCGTGGCAGTTGCCACTTCCGCCACACAACCGGAAGCGAGTGTCTTAGTAGTGTCGCGATGCTCGCCCCCGCCATGTTTCCTGAGATATTACGAACTGCAGTGCCCCGTAGCATCCCTGAGACAACTTCTAACGACCCGTTGGATCTTCAAAGATAACTGTAGCGTTTTGTGATGTCCCTGAGAGGAATATTGGCGTTCTGTAGCCGTGTCTGACCGGAGCAGCGACCTGCCGCCTCCTCAGGGAGCTCAGTGAAGGCATCGCGCTCACCGACGACAACGGCAACCGCGTGGGCAAGTCGAAAAAGGTCGCCCGCGAGGCCATCGGCATGGTGACGGTCAGCAGGATCATGATGGCCGCGCCCGGAATGGGTGAGTGTGCTCCTCCGCGCCGCCGCTGCCGCCCCACTGACCGCCCCCGCCCCCGCCCCCGCCCGACCCTCAGGGAGATGGCCGACGGTATCCAGCTGTTTGACGCCGAGGGCCGGTGCGTGGGCCGCTCGCCGTCTGTGGCCAAATGGGCCATCGCCATGGTGACTGTGTCCAGAATCGGGATGGCCATACCGTCCATGGGTAGGAGACGGTCTGAGTGCGGGCCGAACCCCGGCGGCCCCGGCGCCGGGACCGGGGCCGTGAGATCTTGTGGTGGTCCATCCGGCAGCATGCTGATATTGGTTTCCGATTGTGGCAAAAGAAGCACGCTTCTGATGTGTCCCTCTGTGATAGCTAAGAGTTTGGTGAGGAATGTCCCAGTTTGGTTGCTAGTCGGTTTGGCTGCTAGTTGAAATATGTATGTATGTTACCTGTAGCCCGTGCTTTCTTGGCATCGTTTCGTTTGTGGTATTTGAGATTTAGTCTTATTTTAACTAAGTTAGCTAAGCTCATTTTACGTTTCACTATTAGCAGCTCAATTCATCTTCATAAGATCTGCTTCCGCGTCTTCCTTATGAGCTGTTACGTTCATGGGCTTCATGCCGTTCACTTAGTGTCAAGTTATCGATCAACGAGTTTTCTCATCGAGTTTTCAGACCATCGTGAATTGGATACATCAAGTCCGCCTATCGTTTTAGATTTTCATTTATCAGATGATTTTGCAATATCGTGTTGTATTTCATTGATTTTCCGTGAACATCAGTTACTACTTACCACACATTCCACACATTCTGATAGTATATGCCAATGTTCCGTTGTGTCTTTGGAGTTTATGAGCTTTCGTGAATTATGGGAGCTGCTGCGCAACCGTTCCCGCTTTTCGCAGTCCATTTGAAATTCGTTTATATAATTTGGGGTGTATGGCGGTCATTGTTCATCCAAATGCGCTTGTTCTAAGGGTTTTATATAATTATAGACGTGTGTTTCATGCTTCTAAACTTGAGTTGACAAGTTAATGAAAATGTTTCATTTGTCCAGCAGTCGACCAACAGTCATTGTAAACAGTGCCCTGCGGTGTATGACTAGCTGTTCCTTAGAGCACGTTTTTAGGATGCATCCGTATCCCTTGTATAATGGCGTGATATATGTGCTTGTAAGCATAAAACAGGTTTTGTGAATTGACATTCATCCATGGGTTTGTATGTTGCCGTGTATGCTCAGTATTGCAATGGTTGCTAATTGCGTCTTGTGCTAACATGCGACAGGTATGCGTCATTCTTTAAATGTTGAGTGGTGTGAACTTGTTTACGTTCATAGCTAATCCTGAAGTTTTGCTTTATGTGTGCTTCGATTACTGAACTCGTTTTGATATCGCGTGTCTGCATTTACCGATGGTAGTTGGGGTCTCGTTTCCTATTTTCGATTCAGAGAACACAAGATGATGCCTGTAGGCTGCAGCATTCAAGCTTCCGAAAGTTCTCATCATCGGCAAATTGTAATAGCTCATGCAGGTTTAATTGCCTTTGCCATGAATATATAAGTATGAAATATGTTATTACAACACGTCCTACTTTGTCTCTTATTTGCCGTGGTCTACTTCCCAGCTTATTGACGATCTTCGAGTTGCGATCAATGCAAGCGCACGTGTGTATAGTGTGTCAGCACTGAGCTGATATTATTCCCTCCCTGTGTGTCGACAGTGGGCATCCCCATCATCATGACTAAGCTGGAGAAGAGAGGCTTCATCAAGCGCTTCCCCTACCTCAACGCGCCGCTGCAGGTAATTCAGCTGCGCCGTGACTGGCATGTTCAGACCGTCATAATGAAGGTTAATGTTACAAATGGTTTGTCCTCATAACCCAAGTCAAATGTGATGTATGCATTCTACCAACGAAAGAGGTTTTCTAAATATAAGTTTTGGTTATCCTATGGTCGGCCGGTCGATTGATGATGCTCCTATCCTACACTGCCTGATGACCTTTGCCAGCCAGCTGTGTTGTGAGATAGCGCGATGCCAGTCCCGAAGTGCCCGGTGTTGTTCGTTATAGATCAGCTACGGCGGACTCTCGAGGCTGGCAAAACTTTGGCACGACAACTGTGAACTGTGACAGAGTTCTCGGGTGGAAATATTTGTTTGAGTTCGTATCCGAGGGAAGGGTGACGCCAGAGTTGGAAATGTTTCCTAGTTCTGTTTGCGTCAGTAAGTGTGGCCATGTGTATCGGTTTGTCAGCTGCTGTTGTCGTTACATGTAACAATATTGTTTATTTTTATTCTCGGACTATGGGGTCATGTTTCGCCCGGATCAACCTTGGTTACGTGATATTGCTTTCAGATGTCTTTGTTCAAAGTAGGTACCCCTATTATTACATTTTTTGTATGATATTTTCCGCCGCGGTTTCCAATAAGTAGGCTCAACATGTGGTTTGTGTGATGGCTTGGTTTATAACTAAGTCCATAAATATGTTGGTGGGGTGTCATAGAGTACCAGCGAGCGAAGACAATATTTACATTTCGGGATGGCGTCGGTACGTCTCGTATTAGTCTTCTCCGAATGTTTATGTGGGTGTCCGCCATCGCTCCAGTACGATGTGTATCAGTCTTCGAAAACTAGCTACCCATATCTGACCTCCATACGATATCCGTTTGACTTTGACCTCATCTATCCTCACATGAATCATTTGACTTCCGCCTGACTCCCGCTTGACCCCGACCGACCTCCACCTGGCCTCAGGCCGACTTCCATCTGACCCCCGTGACTGGCCTCACCCCCCCCCCCTCCCATCCGACTGACACTGACCTCACCTACCCCCGCCCCGCAGGTGCTGCTGTGCGGGTTCTTCCTGACATTCGCCACGCCGCTGTGCTGTGCGCTCTTCCCGCAAAAGTCGGCCGTCGACGTGACCCGACTGGAGCCGGAGGTGCAGGTAGGTTTTGTTTATTTATGTCATCGTGAACTTCATCATATGCCATCGTATTCATGCCACGACATTGTTTACATGACATCGCTTTCAGAGGGAGTTGTTTGAAGTAATAATCTTATTATTACACCGCTTGCATATTTTCCGTTGCGGTTTTCATTAATTAGACGCGAGATGTGGCACAGTGTTCTTATTTAAGGATTGGGTCAGGATTTAGAATAGCGCAGAGCGATAACAACTAAAATTGTTTAAGTCAGTAAGCGCAAGTAAGAAATAAAAATTGAAAGCAGCTGCTTCCTTAGCGGCTCACCGCATAGCTGATGATAACGCTTCCGTAAAACTGTCAAAAATAGCCTATGTGGTTACCTTACCACATGGAAATTACCAACCAGGGTCAGCGGGTCACAATGTTCGGTTCTTGGGCGGCGTTCTCTGGTGGTTAATAAGTCGCTGACTTTCGTTGCTCACTTGTCGGCCTTTGAGCGATGATCACTTGTGCACCACCGGCTGGTCATTGGTCGGTTGTCATTAATCGATCACGTTGGTCGGTGGTCACCGACTGGCCATTGATTGGTGACCATGCACCGGTAAGCCAGTGCATAGTTGTTGGCTGCATCAGCTGACGGGTAATGGACTTGTGTGGTAGTGCCCGTTGTGGGTCGTTGTTTTGTCTGGTTTTTGAGGTCCGGCGATGTCGCTGGTCCCCGCGGGGCGGTGTGTATCCGATCACGCTGGTCGCGATCGTGGTCGGCTAGACATGTGTCGTTATGCTGGACGTATGTCAGTATATACTCGGATGTAGGTTTGTATGTCGGACGCGTGTCGGTATGTCGGACGCATGTCGGTATGTCGGACTTGTTTCGGTGTGTCGAAGGTATGTCGGTATGACGGGCGTATGTCTGCATCTCGGCCATATGTCGGTACGTCAGCCTGTGCCAGTATGTTGGGCGTATGTCGGTGAGAGGTCGGACGACATATGTCAGTATGTCGGACGTGTTTCGGTATGTCGGCCGCATGTCAGTATGTCGGTAAGTCGGTCAGAGGTCGCTGGCCGGCGGCAGCTGCACAGCCCGAGCCCAGCATCATTTGTTCATTGGGAACTAATGACCTCAGAAGCCGGCGGCTCGGCGGGCCCAGCGGTGCAGCGCTGAGGGATTGCCTGGCTACGGCCCGGTACGTGACTGCAGCTGAGGGAGGGGAGGGGGTGGTCCGGCAGGGTCGGCACAGGGTACAATCACCGGCCCGGCGGCTGGCCGACATCAGCCATTGAGGCTGACAGCCCGGTAAATATTTCAGTGGTGTGTGGAAGCCGCTCTCCCAGTCTGTCAGACCGACTTTGGTTAGTGTCCCGGCAACCTGAGCTCAGAGATAACCGTAAATGTAGTGGCATGGTGTCCTAGTCAAGGCTGAAGGAATAGTGCGAAGTTTATGGGTATTTCTCCATTTCTGTCTGTGCTATGGGCGGTGTCGTATCTTTCCATCTTTTTTGTTGCCTCTGGTTTCGATTTATCGTTCGTGAACTGCAGCTGTGGAACGATCTCGTCTGGCCGATTTGTCGTCAGCAGTTGTGCTGTCAAAGCAGCCGTCATAAAAGCCATGACGTCATGCCCCTCCCCCGTCTCAGTTCATATCAGCACCCATCCCCGCAGGCCTCGTGTGATACGTCGTGACGCGTCGTATGACCAGTTCTACCGCCACACGCTAAACTGGACGGGAAATACCCTAACCAGTAACCATTGACTAACAGCGAGCTCGATAACGCTGTTGGCTGTTGCTGTGCCGGTGCTTATTCGTCCCTCCTTTCTCCTCCCCACCCCAGTACGCCACCACATCGGTCGTTCGCCGCGCCCTTCCCCTCTCTCCCTCCACTCTAACTACAAGGCTTCTCAGTCTGGGTCTACGCACACGTAGCGTTGGTAAAGAAATCCGGAGCGTATGAGGGTCGTGAGCCTGTACTGTTGAGCCCTGTTTGAGCACGGATCACACCGCTGCTTTCTGCTCGAGTGCGTGTGTACTATCGTGACTGGCCGTTATCGTCAGGCCACATACGTCATACGTCACTGTCGGTCCGGCCTGTGACCCGTCTGGACGGGCTCTAGCAGTCGTTGTGTGTGGGTAGTGATCAGCCGGGCAGCCGGGTCAGTTCACGTCACCGTCCGCCGTGCACCTGACGTACTGACTGACCGAGACCGTCGGCAGCACCACGCCGTTTGCCGGTGCTTTTTACGTGCGGACAAAAACGTCCCGCCGTGCGGCTGCCCTCGGACGACCGTGCGCGGTTCATCTCTCCGCGGGCGCGGCCGGCGATTCACGGACAGATCGATACCTCCCGCCGCCGACCGTGCACGAACCCCGGCCGGATCGGGTGACGCCGGCAGAATATTGGCTCTCTTTGTACGGGTGCCCGTCCCGGGGCCGTGGGGCCTGGCGCACGCCTGAGAGCGTTTTTGGCGTATAATGAGGGCACTTTGGAGCTGCGTGGGCGGCAGTGAAGGGTGGAGGACCGAGTGGTGGTGATTTTCCGAGAGTCCGCGGTGAACCGTGCGGATATGTTTGCCATTAGGTGCTGTGAATGGTGTTATCTAATGGGATGGTCTGGTGCTGTAACTATTTTCTGTGCTCGGCTAGCGCCGACGACGGTTGACTAATAATAACCCTGTAAGAGTATACACATTATTATAGCACTCGCTCAGCCGCTGGCTGGTTTTTGCCGGAGCTTTTGCTGGATTGTATCGTATGCTCACCTTCCGGTCTTTGTGTGCTATATTTGTCTGGTCTCTCCCTGAGTTGTGCAACTGCTAGTTTGTCTCATTAGTTGGAGAGTGGAAATGAAATCGCTCAAAGGAAACGGGACTTTTAGAAACATAACGCCATCATCTAACCTTGGATTTATTAGTTAGCTGCTCGCCATTTGGCTTCCTGCATCTCTGATATCGCGCATTGATTTAGCTTAATCGTCCTTTCATTTGGCTTTGGTTTCAGTATGTATTGAAACGCTTGAGTATTTACATTTATATGGCCGCCTTGCCGGCCGGCCATCCCGCTTTCCTTGCGGTGTGCAGTTTACATGCATACAAATAAACACAGGCGCGAAATGATGGCTATCCTAGTAACGGGTACCGAGAAGATGGCCTCGTGCAATGTGTTTACTCGTGGGAGATACTTGAGATGTCGTTCCCGGCTAGGGAGAAGTTCTAACGTTCTGTTGACCTCTCGCTCATCCATTGAATGCCATCATTCTCTCCCTGACCTAAAAAAAAAAAAAATCGGCCTATGACCAAACAAGAACACAACTCAGTCACTTCTACATATTTCAGATGGCATTGAGCCTCGGATGAATATCGGACGTATCAGTGATATTGTAAAGCCATGTCATATTGAAGAACTATTTGTTGAACGATCTTGAATCATGTTGTTCACACACTTAGCTTTGTTTTGCCGGCCTCCACGATGTCCTTAGCATGTTTGGCTTGTTTGCGTTTAGTCTTAACGAATGGCCGAATATGTATGCTGGACCTCTGTGTCATGTATATTCCAGCCTCCTGACGCCTTTCGACACTAATCTCATCAATATGTGTCTACAATACGGCCGGCGAGCCGCTCCCCCTCAGCCCTTTCCCTGACTCCCGTCTGTTCCTCATTCTCAGGAGGCGATCAACAAGCTGCCCAACGCGCCGAAGGTGGTCTACTACAACAAGGGCCTGTAGACGCGGCCGCGGCTCCGGCGCTCACCCCATCTGACCCGGTCAGACCCCCGACTCAGAGTGTCCTGGCACTGAACAGCGCCCCGGTGCATGTGTCAACTCGTGGAGCAGCTGAGAAATGAGTGGGACTCCCCGCACCGCGTAGGCTGTAGCTAGGTGGAGCCGGCTGGGGTGTGCTTATGTTTACGTAGGGTGATAGTCGCTCGGCGTATAGTTGGACGGGAAATGTGATGGATTATACCATATAATCATATTCTAGGAGGGGCCGTTGGCGTGATGGCTTGGTCGGTCATAGGGATGCTTGTTAGTGTTGCGATAGAGCAGAATCAGAAATGGCATTTCCGATAATCCAATCATCCCACTAATCGATCAAAAGACAATAAGGAGGAGCTATTCACAAGAAAGTGCTTCTCTGTGAAGCACTTTCTTAGAGACCGAGTTTTCTTAAGTAGACCGAGTAAAGATACCCGGCACCCACACAGTAGGCTTTCAAAGGCTCTGACCATGACATATTCAGGCATGGTCTAATTTTGGTGCGATTCACGATTGGTTCAGTCGCTGTTCTCGGGTGTTGAATGCCACATCCGATGGGCATGCTTGTGGCTGGAACCGGGCGTTGATGTAGCGGGAACTAGTGGGTGAGCTCAGGAGCAGGATGGGTGTCGCGGAATTTGTGCAATACGGAGCGCTCTGACGGGGCTGTTGAATGAGCTGGTGAGGACTGCGACGTCCTCTGAGGAACGGCGCCGGGGGAGGAGCGGAAACTGTTGGTGTGGTGGCGGGCGACCCAGCGGCGGAAGGTGGCGCGGCGAGAGACAGGGTCAGCTACTGAGGGCATCGACTGGAACGGAGAGAACACGGAAATGAACACTGTGGTGCTAAAAGCACGATGAAAACGACATGTGAAAACGGTGGCTAGTCAGCATAATGTATAAGATCTGATTCTGGTCGTTCCGGCGGGGAACTAAAAACTAATGATCTGGTTAGACAGCACGCACACGCACTCAGTCTTCCGATGGCTCGTCTAGCGGCAAAGTATATTACTTTAGCCGGCCTCTGGTGTGTATCAGTTGGAACATAACCGGCTCGAGTGTGTAGAGTTCACCAGTGTGCCATAGCAGGATGGTACACCCCAATCCCTGAATTTGGACGCGGAGCATATCGCTCGTGCGGACGTGGGCTTCTGGCACCCCGGTAGTTAGCTGTGCTGCTTGTGCTGTAACGATTCGGTAATTGTGGCAGTGTGTCGCAGTCGGACCATCTGTACTGCGTGGCGGGAGCCTGTGGGTGACGTGGATGGACTAATGCTGACTGAGTGATTGGATGTAAGCTCCTGGGCATTGGGTTTGTATTTGTCTAGTTTTCGATTTTCGGAAGGTCAGGATTGGTGCCATTTTGTTCGTGACGTGTTGAACGATTGTTTTGTGGACCTTCAGCTCAGGAATGTGGGAATTCGACGCTGAATTCATTATAAAACTGCCTAAACCTGCCAGCAAACGTATAACGTAATGCTAATGCATTCTTTGATATGTGCAATGTGCATCGTACAATATGCACTCATTTAATGCGCAACTTGTAATTTGAGAGCGAGAGCAGGTGGCATTCATATCACATCGTGCGATTTTTAAACCCGCGACGGATGCTCGTCTTAACCCTATTAGTGGCAGGGGGGGGGGGGGTGTTTTTATCCACCCCTCAGGTTTTTCGGGAATATCTCCGAAACCGCTGAAGCTACGATGCTGAAATTTTCTGACTTTTCTTAAAACTAAATTGGGCACATTCCCTGAAAATTTCAAGTTCATAACTTTACCAGGGGCGGCTCCAGAGCACTGGGAATTGGGGGGTCCTATTCGTGAAGCGAGTCATTTGGGCGAAGATCACGATGCTGCACCAGTTTTACGAACAGTGAATGAAAGGTATCATGTGATAACATATACAAAGTTATTGTGCATCCTCTTTTGACACGTTTTTGCTATAATAGGCGGATCCAGGCGTCCAAAAAGGGGGTTATTTTTTACCTCCCAACATAGGTGCCCTGACACCGCCTATGCATGACCAATACAATTTTAGTCGTTCTCTCATAAGAAAATTGTAACATAACAAAACCATTGCCACCCTTTTTAGAAACAGTACCAACAAAAACCTTATTTACTATACTTTTTGTGTACCCCCAATCTCAATGGTATCCGCCTATGATTTTTGAAAATGCATATTTTTAGGATCCATGTGAATTCCTGGTTCATTCTCTATCGATCGGCAAAAGTTGCGTTAAGATTGATTCAGAAACCTGGCCGTGATAAACAGTCTAAAATGTATCTGCAATTTGCCCGTTTTTACCCCCCTCTACCCCCCTATTGACATTTTTTAATTTTATTTTTTTTAGAAATGTAGATCTCGTTGAGCGAAATCGAATACCGTTTGAATTTTGAAAATCGGCCCGTTAGATCTCGAGATATCAAGGGGGGGGTCGTAAACAGCCCCCCCTGCCACTAATATGGGGTAGCCAGGAGCCTGCCACTAATAGGGTTAATCCGTCAGTTATTACGTTGGAAATGCTATCGATTGTTCCATGTTGATGGTGATGTGTATATAATGATATGCATGATTTAGTCAGTATCAACCTCAGACCCGGGCTAGAGCTCAGCGGAGCGCTCACGGCGGAAGTATTCGTTTGACGATATGTACCCGTTAGTTCATTTTGTAGACGTCAGCTATTAGTATTCCATCGTGCCATGCGTTCCATCTGCCATCTGTGTCGATTATCTAATGGTGCAATAATACATCTGGATCGATGGAACTCGACTGCCTCTTAAGTATGTACAGCCCTCAGCAGACTGCGTGGTAGGTATTCTTTTTCCGACAAAACTGATAATAATTCAAAAGTTATGTTATCAGTCGGTCGAAACTCACTGCAAATAGATGCGCCATGCTCCACTCCTTCGAAAGGGCCTATCAATAAACAAAGCATACGCCTTGTGTGGCAACAAAATGTAAAATTTCGTTTTGGGGGCAAATATAAACTTATGGGTTTCGTTGCCAGACTGGATGGAAAATGCATACGGTGATAACGCCAATCTAAGCTGCGGAGTCTCGCGCATCTTGCTGTTACGATTTCCGAGTGCCCGATAGCATAGTATTCGCGTTATTCTCGGTTTTGTCGAAAAAAGAATACCTACCACGCAGTCTGCAGAGGGCTGTACATGCGACCTTTGTGTCGGCTTGGGAGTATGGGTGAATTTTTAGCCGACCACCTTGAGGCTGTGTAAAAAAAGAAACGGTTACGAGTCGTAGCAACGTACCCCAAGATAAAAATGAGGCCTGCGTGCGATATGCGATATGCGATAACCATTCTATTCAAGTTTGATCTTACTGCCGTCGCTAAACCCCAGCACCACAGCGCCGCTGAGAGTTATAGTAGCGATGGGGGAGCACAGGGGCGTCGCCACGGATTTTTGAGTGGGGGGGTCGGGTTTCTAGTCTTCACCCGATGGGTAGGGGTGTTTTTTTTTTTGCCACACTTGCCAGTTTTGTGCGTGCGTATGTGCATGTGTGCGCGTGTAACAAAGCGGCGTGCAGCGCCGCGAAATTTGGTATAACCTATTAGGTAGGTATACCTACCTACATCACTTGCGTAAAAATTATCACTGGTCACTTAAGGTCAGGTCGCTATGTCAAGTTCAGTTATACGGTATACCTCTATCAAACTTTCCCCTCTCGCCATTCTTGTAGCTTTTCTCCCATAACTTCGAAATTTGGTACACTGTATACCTAATGTATGGGGTTATACGTGTCAGCAATTCATGATGCTGAGGATTTTTTTTTTTTTTTTTAATATTTTTGGTGCCCGACCAGGGCTTTTATCGTTAGTAGCACACATTCATACTGGGTTAGTACACTATATACACGGCAGTGGTACGAATCGTTTTCGGCACCCGCTACGCGGGACAGCCTTGACCGCACGCTTCCTGTCACGCACCCCAGGTGGCACCGCACTGGTGCGCACGCTGGGGCTATCCCGATTTCTCGGGCCCGGCAGGTCAGAGGGCTGCTCCGGGACATGAAGCGAGGCCGTGCCCTCGGGACATGTCACCGGACCGAAGGATCTGTTTAAAGGCGGATCAGGCCCGTGTACCTGCGGCCGGGGGCGCTGGCTGGCACAGCGTTAATCCCCACGACCGAGCGAACACTCCCCAGTTACTGCCATCTCCTGGGTAGGAGCCGGCCGAGGAAAACGCTGCCAGAGGTCAGCTTTGATCCAAGGACCTCCCACCCCAAACGTGAACGCACTTGCCAACTGCGCCACAAGGGTGGTGATGCTGAGGATTTACATCTATGATCTGGAGGCAGGTCAAATACGTGACCTCATCATTAGAAAATAATGAGAAATTATAAAAAGCACGAATGCCCCCTGCTTTGAAAAAGTTCGTCAGAAACGCAAAATATCTTTGGAGCCATGACAAATCAGCTCATCATTGCCAGGGACAGGGTGCAACTGATGGCGAGTGATGACTCGAAAGGTCATTAGTGGAAATGTCCATCGATGGCCACCAGCATTTTTTTTTCTACAACTTTTGACGAAGACGCGGTAGAGCGATGACAGCACCTGGAAGGTGTTCATAGTTCAGCTCAACAACACGGATCCATTCATATGCAGCAGGAGGTCCTTTTTCGATCTGGACATAACGTTGACCTGAGGTCGTTTTAACGTTAATTCTGAATGGTCAAATTTTAACTCATGTGACGCGTCTCAAAGAGATAAACACAGTGGTGACAAGACAACATATGTAAATACCATACAAACTCACGGAATCTAAAGTTATTGCAAAGCAAATGTTTCGGCAGAATCTGTCCAGTTAGCTGTTTGCCTTCTATGGGCAAAACATAGACCTGAGATGAAATCTGACCCGAAGCTAGCGAAAGAGCGTTGAAAGAGCTATCAAATATGTTTTCTGCTTCACTGTAGCCCTTCTATTGGTGGGCTCCCACGCTAACTTATAACGTATACTAAAGTAACGCTGATGTATGCTTTCGACCCCTGATCGATCTAGAGGTTTGCGGAAAAAAGAGCATGCTGCCCGTGACGAGAGAAAGCCGATGATACCCATTTACAAGGTTTCGGGTCATCTCAGGACTCAGGTCATCGCCAATACGTAGGGAAACTCGGGACCTGCTAGAACTTTGCGAATGTAAGTTGTGATGGTTTTTCGAGGTTCTGATTACGAATGTTATCTTAGTTTTGAACGAAGATGATGACTCCATGCATTTGGGGTAGATCAGGTCAGGTCAGATCGACCAGTACCTAATAGTGGATGACCACCACCGATTGCTTCCTAACATGTTATACATATGTATAAGCAACACAACTACTTCTTAAATGTTCAGATGGGCGCTAAGTTCAAAATCAGCTCCAAAACTATCCTATACCTAAATTAAAAGCATGTTATGAAAAAGTGAACCAAGGTCATCTTTATTTGAATCACGGATATCGATTTATTTTTAAGTAGGTGATTAACACGAGCGCACCGGAAGTTTCGTTGCAATCGGCTCGTTTTGCGCGACTTCTTTGCGAAAGCCCGAGACGGTTTCATCTGACTCCCTTTCCCCTACATGTGCACTGTACAGCTACTGTTAACGCCAGACCCCTTGAGACCCTAATTTTTCGCGATTACTTTTAAATGCGTGAAGGAATTTCAACCAAGCTCAGGATATGGCCGTTTCAAGACAGGCCGAAACTTTTACAATTTAGATATTTTATCGCCATTTCAATATTTCAGGCACTTGTCATTGACTCGTAATGTTAACTGTTTTTCCATCCTGGATAGAGGCTTTCTACGTCATATGACATTAGGCTCCGCCCACGACTGCGGCATTGACCCGTGCCCATCAGCGACCTCTGTACAAACGACACCCCTGCCATCTGTGAAGGACTATGAATTTCGCTGACGCTTCACGTGCTATGAGTCAATTGCAGCAGACGGTCAAGTAAATGTTAGGCTCTTGTTGACTCTTGTATATAGGACCAAGAGGACCATCACTCCTCAACCTACTACTCAGCCGTGCTTCGAACAAACGTTAACGATTCCTAACAAATACGATTTTCGATGTAGGGTATCTGTTTGAAATACGAGCGAGCCGTATGATGTGAAGCTCAGGCAATTAACTTATTATTGCGTTGTTCGATGGTTGCATAGCGATGTACAAATCGGCAGCTACTTGGTGACATCCGACTTCCCATTATCGCATTATCTGCAACGGCATAGGCTTTAAATACAGGTGAATATTTCCTAACCTTATGTCAGTTATATGCCATCTGCCCGTCATTTGCAGCTTATAAAAAAATATATATATCAGCGAACATATCAGCATTGTAGAAGCAATGCGCATTGAGCATTTATGACTCCTTAGTCATCATGTCGCTCTCTGGGCACTGTCAGCCAAGACGCTACGCACAACTCCGCCGGCTTTCGGCACCGCTCGACCGTCGCCCGTCCCCGCTCCCCGCCACAGCGAGAGTGACCGCGCGCCGGCCCGAAACCGCCGCAGGCCAAGACCACAGAGGCGGGGCTTAGCTGTGACGTCATAACGTATCACAGACTGACTGGTGATAGCCTCTACACACCGGATGAAAATCTTGCTCGAAATTTAACATTACGAGTCAATGACAAGTGCCTGAAATATTGAAATGGCGATAAAATATCTAAATTGTAAAAGTTTCGGCCTGTCTTGAAACGGCCATGTCCTGAGCTTGGTTGAAATTCCTTCACGCATTTAAAAGTAATCGCGAAAAATTAGGGTCTCAAGGGGTCTGGCGTTAACAGTAGTTGTGACGATAGCCATGGGGCTGAGGCTAGTTTGTAGTTGTAGTTAGGTACTGATCCGACGAATCGACTGCGACCATTTTTTTTTTTTAAACGATCAGACGAAAGCTCGGGGCAGTTTTGGCGCGTCCAATCCTTTGAGGGATAAAAAGGTACTAGAATGGTGGCTACTTAAAAATATTGTTGTGCTGGTGTTCCCCGCCCACAGCTAATTGAACTTTAGGTAATTGGCTAATTGGCTTTAGGGAGCTCTTGAAGCGATTCTGAATCTGATGTATTTGTTGGTGTTGCTGACGCCTGCTTCACTGACATAAAAGCTAAAAAAGCATACTCAGCATCGCAAAAAGTGGGGGGGTCGACACCCCCAGTTTTCAAGAGTGGGGGGTCACGACCCCCCCGACCCCCCCGTCGGCGACGCCCCTGGGGGAGCACACAGACGCCCGGGGACTGGGGGGGGGGGGGGACGGGTGCCGCCGGGGCAGGGACGGGTGTCGCCGGACGACCGCCGCCCGTCGCCTCCGACAGTCGACTGCGGCCGAGGTGGCGATTTCTCCGCACCGGCAGCGTCGTCCGCGGCCGTCGGCGGGGTTACTCGCGGTCACTTTCTCCCCCGCGCACCGGAGCGTAGTGTCAAGTGCGCGTCCCGGCCCCCGTGGGCGGCCCCATGCCGAGGGCCACCGACGGACCGCCGCGCCGCTCCGCCAGCTACCGGGATATTTATAACAATGCGATAGCAACGGCAACTGTCCTCCCACCCCTTGCTGTTTATCGCAGAGAGAAGCCTTTTGAGTTGCTGCTGTCAACAATTTATTCGTATCACTTTTCGCTACGATTCTGGCGAGGCCTTTTGCAATTCCTACTATGCATTCCTGATCTGTGGACCGCAAGTGGTTGTAGTACTCGGGGCTACTACGCATCAGTCGGCGGCGCCGCGCCGGTGGCCATAGTGGGCAGGGGGAGGGGCGCCGGCGGTGGGGCC